AGTCCTCGGACTCTGATCTTTTCAGGTGCGTTAATCACCTGAAATGACATCGTTAGGTGGGTCTGATGGGTTGACGAGCCGCTCGCTTTAGATCAAACCGGATTCATGAGAAGGAGGGAAAGAAAACATGAGGGCTCATTTGTCTGGCTGTCTGTAACCTTCTTTTTATCTTTCCTCTCCGTGTCCTCGCATTTCCACACGCGTACCTGTTCACCTCAATCTGTCTGAACAACTAAGACCAGACAGCCTCATCCATCAGCGTGGATCCGCTGGGTCCTGGTCAAACATCCTGAATGTTAAGAGAATCCAAACTGGACCACCCTGAGACTCCAACAAAATATCTTATTTAATGTTTTTTTTTAAGGTGTTGTCGTGAATATTCTGCATAATCTTCACTCAGCCTGCAGGAAAAATACATTTACAACCGATTCTAATTCAGATCCGGACATTTCCTCAGCCTGCTGCTGCATCTTTTACAGGTTCCCCTTCAGCATGTCCTGAAGACAAATTCATCTTTGCACTGACTCTGAATCACAACGGTCCTCATTCATGTTACACACGGAGGAAATGCACCCGCCATCCATCGTGTAAGAGGTCAGGTGACCACAAAAGGGTTTTAAGATGATAAAAGAGTCGAACAAACGCAGGATTTTCACCTGAGGGACTGAATTTTGGTCTAAGAGGGTGTTTAAAAAAAAAAAACAGGGAGGAGAAACTTGTAGGTTTTATATCTGAACCTTAAAACACGGTTTGAAAATCTGCTCGCAGGAATTGAAAATTTCTTGGCATTGATTTGCAAATTCTGAACACAGATTAAAAACTTTCCTGCAGAGCATTATGCCAAGATTATTAAACGTGCACACAGATTATTAAGTGTGCATACAGATGATTAAACGTGCACACAGATTCAGTGTACAGACACAATATTCAGTGTACACACAGGTTATTAAGTCTGCAAAGATTTGTAAGCGTTCACAGAGATTATTAAACTTGCACACAGATTATTATACGTGCACACGTTTCGTTTAGTGTACACACAGATTATAAAGCATGCATACAGATTATTAAATGTGCAAACAGATTATTAAAGATGCAAACAGATTATTAAATGTGCACACAGATTATTAAACGTGAACATGGATTATTAAATGGGCACACAAATTATTAAAAACGCACATGGATTATTAAACACGCACACAGATCATTTAGTGCATACAGATCACAGATTATTAAATGTGCAAACAGATTATTTAGTGTACACACAGATTATTTAGCGTGCACACTGATTGTTGAAGTGCACACAGATTGTAAAGCGTGCACGCCGATTATTAAACATGCACATGGATTATTACGTATGCACACAGATTATTAAATGCGCACATGGATTTTTCAGGTATTCCTCCTGTCGCACACAGACTCTGAATCAGAAGTTGATCTAAAATCAAAAACCATCAAATCTCACAGTTTTACCTCCATGTGATTCAGAATTTAGAGTTCGAACAATTCACAACAACAGGTCACCAGAACCAAGACAAGAAAAAAATACAGAGAACACAGACATATAAAGTGGGGTAAAAAGTGTTCAAAAACGTACCCTTTAGTCGATCTATCGAGGGTTTCCAGACATTTCTACTCCTGCCACAAGGTTTACAATCCAGACACAAAAACAGGTGTTTGATCAGAGACGATTGATGGTAAATCCACAGTGATATACGGTGAAAACAGGATTATTGATCAGATTAATGTGATTAAAAAAGATCGCTATCGCTAAATGCGGCTAATGTCTTCCGGGTTTGACAAGCCAAACTTTCGACCAATGACATGGTCTCATATTCTTCTTCTATTGTTCCCTTGACGGTAGTGTCCAATAAGAGGCAACCAAAGATCAACAAGAGACAAGAAAGTTCCCTGTTTGTCTGTAAAATCAGAAATAATGTTTTCAATGTTTGGAAACAAGTAAAGAAGAGATTGTGAGCAGTATGATGTGGTCCTCTGTCTCATCCCAGACAGGAACTGCTTCAAGGAGTGGCAGAAACTACTGTAAATAGTCAAAAACACCTGAAGAATGAGTGTAAATATGTCAATAGTTTCTGTTGTGTGTTTGTTCCAATCCCAATATTTCTGCTCCTGATAGACAAGACTTGAGAGAATGATGTTCAGGTGAGAAAACGCTTGGTCACTGTAGACTTATGTGGTTTTTGAGCAAAGTTCTGTTGGGATCAATTTCCGTTTGACTTGGATGGTTCTGAATCTACTGTCACATTTATTTAACATCATTTTTGCTCCATAAACTGACAGCTGAGGTCCTCCTGGAAATAAAGACGTGTTTATATCTGCTGTGATTGAAAGGAAAGAGTCGACACAGAAATTTAAGGGTTAAACATGTACACAGATTATTTCGTGTGCTCATGGATTTGCCAGTGTTTAATTCTTCTGTTGCACCCACACCAATAGGCTTCGAGTTTTACCGCAATATGATATATAATTTGGAACAGGGGTTAGAACAATGCACTACTGATTTTGGCCAAAGGGGTCGCCAGAATCAAGACAACAAATTACCGATGCATACATACAAGGTCTAAACATGCATACACTCTAAAAACTCTTGGGTTATTTCTTCCCGGGTTATACATGTTGAGTTAAATTTCTGGGTTATTTTTCAGATCCGTACTCATTTCTTGGGTCATATGGATTCTAGTGTAACCCAATTTGAAGGTTTTTTAACGGGTTAATAATTATAGGTTATTTTTCTGAGAGTAACCCAATAATTGGGTCAGAACGTTGGGTTCGATTGACTCTACATGGTTTCTCAGCCTAATGGCAATTAAAGTGACCTGGTGACCTTGTGAACTTTAATTATATATAATATACTTATTGGGGCAGTTCGGGGTAGCTACCCTGATATGTATTGAGCGGCTGAGGTAGCCCAGCGGGTAAAGCATTCAGTTCCCAGCCGGGAGGTTGGGGTTCAAATCCCACATGAGACGCATTTAGCAGGAGTGGATCACTCCTGACTTTGGGGTTTCATGGTTGGGTGTTCAGTAATCTTCAGCCTGTGGACCTTAGAGGAATCTAACAGTCGATGTGCCGCTCAGAGTCTTCGGTTCTTGTGTGGTGCAGCTGTGTTTTGAATTCATGGTCGTTACTTGATGGTTGATGTTGGTGAACCGCTGAATAAATCAGTCCTTCGTCTCCCCACAGATGGGCTGAGCTGCCTCCACTCTCTCTCTCTCTCTCTCTCTCTCTCTCTCTCTCTCTCTCTCTTCTTGAATTTCTAAATGCCATCAGAGTCAGCTCCATCTCAGTCACACGTCTTTCATCGTCCTCTCTCCTTTATATCTGCCTCTACACTCTCCTCCCTCTCCTCCCTCTCAGCAGGCTCCTGCTCTGAGATTGCCTGTAAATTGGCACTTCAGGCGATCTCATTGCCAATTTAGCAGCACGTGTTTTATGACTTGTATGCAACCGACGCCCCTGAGCTGAAACTCAGAGTGTGATAAAGTGAACGGTAACAGTACGGCAAAGCCACAGCTCCAGATAGAGCACTGAAGATGGACTCACTAAAAACATATAAGATCAGGGTCCGCTATATTCAACTCTTCGTGTCATGTCGTGTCCTCCATCTTGACGTTTGAAGTCAGAGTCGCCCCGATCATCTTCTAAACAGATTAGGGAACATAAAATCCCTCTTTAAGACTTCATCCCGCAGGATATTTGGACCAGATTATCTCTGGAACCATCAGAAACTTCGACCTTTACCTGCCGACTCCTGTCAGGAGGGGGAAATTGGACCCAAAATGGGATTTGCTATCTTGTAGAGCGGGCTGATTAAGTCACGGATGGATCAAGTCAAATCAAATTGAATGTCTGGCTGAAGGAGAAAAAGGTCCAGAGATAGGAAAAAGTAAAAGTTGGTGAATTCTGCACCAGAGAGCCATTCTGACACCTGGAAAAAAAACAACCACCTTCAGACCGTCCGCCTCTCAGACTTTGAAGACCCCCGCAGGTCCACTTTAACATGAGTCACTGTTGTCTTTGTTGGACTTCAGATCTGGTTTCGTTGTCTCCTGATTAGATGTGGATCAGTAGGAGAGGAATCAGTGCTAACACGGTCGTTTGTAGGAGCAGAAACCGTATCTAGATTGAACAGGGATAGTTTCCGTCTGTTCCTTTGGGAATCCTTTATGTTCACAGCCGTGTATCTGCAACGCTGAAGTTTAAATCCAAAACTTTATCCTGTTTTCCACACTGTAAAACCTAACAGTCTATTTCAATAAACAAAATACGTTTAGAAATAACTTACAACTCAAAAAATGGTCATTAAAGTGACCTGGTGAACCCTCGTATTGTCATACGGAGGGCTTGCGGTGCAGCTGGACGCTCTCCCACAACCCCATATGGAATTTTTACATTGCTATGCACGCCATAAGATGTTGCGAACTACATATTGGCGATCTAGTCATCACTTGGATGACTTGGTTTCTTCAAAATTTCAGCTACCTTGACTCCCTGCCCAAAAACCCCCTATTTCAGCTCTTAGGAATAACGGGGCCTGGTTGCCCAGTATTTCAGGGCCGAGCGGGTTTCGAACCAGGAGCCGGTTTCCAACCAGCCCGCTTGACTCTAATTAATGTGTAAGTTGTCTACATCCACACTTGGGGATGAGCTCTGCGTGCTTTTATCCTGGTACTTTGGCTCCTGGACTTTAAAATTTGTCCTGGATAAGGTTCGAACTCACGACCTCTGGAGTCCCAGTCAGTCTCCTTATCCCCTGAACCGTGTGGACACACAGAAGGGTTATGTTTTTGTTCCTATTTCACTGTCCTCTGTAGACATTAGACTGTAAAATTCACCTTGACCTGGGTGCGGTAAGGCTCGAACCCAGGACCTCAGGTATCCCAGTTTGTCTCCTTATCCCCTGGGCCACATGGACCCAGAGGAGTACACTGTTTGTTTCCTCTTTCACTCTCCTCTCTAGACACTAGACTTTAAAATTCACCGTGTCCCGGATAAGGCTTGAACCCACGACCTCTGGAGTCCCAGTCAGTGGTCTTATCCCCTGAGCCACGTGGACATGGAGGAGTATTCTGTTTATTTCCTCTGTCACGGTCCTTCATAGATTTATATTCACACACATACACGGCTCAGAAATGGCCTTTTACAGAGTTAATGATGTAAACATTGAGTTTTATAGTAAAACTGTTAAATCAGAGTCTTAATGGAGCCAGAATTCAAAAACAGGAAGTTCAATCAGGCGGCCAACTTTCCTCAGCTGCAGACAAACTCAGTATTTCTGCGTTTCTCTGAGGAGAAAGTGACTTTTTCCTCTAAATGTTAAAATCGTTAAACACTGAAATGAACTCTTTACAAATGAGGCACGTAAATAAATTAAAACTTTGCAGCTCAGGAGGTTTTCTCTGTTTCTTCACACTGTATTGGCTATAATAACATTTTTTAAGATAAGCGTCGTCAAATTAGGATTACCACTTGTGTCGTGTGTTGTTTCAGATCCTGGATTAATGAATCAGTTTAGGACCATTTTATGGTTTCCTCAAGGCCTCCTCCTGAGTCTGGATTTATGGACTTTATTGCTTAATCGTGATCTGCCATAACTGCATTTAAACTATTTATCACATTACATCCCGGGGGAATAATGAGTTCGTTTGTTCTCCTCTCTGTGACCCTCAGAGGTGGTAAAAGTGATGATTCTTCAGTCCGGGCAAAAACAGGACATTAAAAACTGTTTTTCATTAAAAACTGTTTTTCACATCCTGACAGGACTGCCACCAAAAAAACACATTTATCTTGTCCTCATCTTTTTCTTCCAGGTGCAGAGTGACCCTTCTCTCTTTTGTGCGCCTCTAACACAAAAGAAAACTCAGACAGCCTCAAATCACGGGGAAAAGAAGAGCCTCTTTTGTGCGGTCGGTGATGAAGTGTTGCACATGGAGCCCATTTTTTAAACCTGGTTTGGATTCAGATCGTACCTCCTGCATATCATCTTTGTTAAAATATACAAGTGGAGGAATTTCACAGATGGAAACACAGTGTTTTAATCAGATTTCTGAAAATGAAGAGATGACAGCGGTTTTGTTTGGCGTTGAACAGCGGCGTTTTATCGCCTGCCGGCATGTAAACACCGACTGTGTTTGTTGGAGTTTGTTTTAAAGAGAAATAAAAACCGACGAGGATGAGAGTGAAGGACGGGAACTGGAGGAGATATTTCAGGCTGATTCGACAAACAGCTGTTTATTCTGTTTATGCACGACTTAATTACAGTGTTTTATATGGTATCCATGGAAACAGCAAAGTTGGACTCTCTTTGAGTTATAAAGAATTATCTCCCTAAACAAAAATAACTGTGTTCTTGTTGCATATGGTGTTAAGGTTCGCTGCATTATAGATGAACCAGGCCTGGTGTTGGTGTAGAGAACAGAGGAAACCGCAGAAACGAGAGTCTGTTCGGTTTGTAACAAAGAGCCGAGGCTGTTCAGAGAAATGAGGGCCCCCCCCCCCCGCCCTCTTTTTTCCCCTCGTAAGACGAACAATAATTGGAAAGCTGAAATGTGGAGATGAGGTTTATACGCGGCTGCTCAAACAGATGTGAGTTACGAGGTGAAACGGTAAACAGGTTCACAGAGATTTAGGACTCGTCTCGACTCTCTCCTTTTGTTCCTTTTGTTCCTTTTGTCAAGTTAGACTCTTGATTTACTTTCATTGCAGGTTTTTAAATTTGTCACCGTCTTCTTTTGTGTGTTTGAGCTCCTGTGTCTCTACAGTTTGACCAACCCGTCATTTAAACTAAATTTGATGATTTTCTTTTGAGGGTTTTTTTCCTCTTTGCTCAGTCAAAGGTAAGTGTGCGCTCTTTTCAGTAATTATCACAGAGTGCCGCTCTTACTGTGAGAGCTTTCACAAAGTTAACTCTGACAAAAAAACACAGAAGAAGAAGAAGAATAAGGAGCCAGATCTGAAGTGATTAAGGATTAAAGCTCCAGTGTGGGACTTTTGGTTTGAGTTAACGTCGGCGCCCCCTGCAGACAGAGCCTTAATATGCTTTAAAGGGATATTCCAGCTTAAAATTAATTTAGGGTCAAACACACTGTAACACCGAGTTAGATACCCATCGAGAGATGAATGTTGTCGACCGCTTGCTTCTCTAGTTATACCAACTTTAGTAACGACCGCAGGATAGTAATACAGAGAGACACGCCCCCAACCAAAACGCCACTCTATAGCCACAAATAATGCTCAGAACAGCAGCTGTTTTTGTGTCTTTAAACGCGTTTCAGTGTGGACTCGTCTTCTCAGTGATATCAAATCTTCGCTCAGTTTGTCGAGTGTCGACTAAATTACCCTCCTTTGTTTTGAAAACAGAGACATGGCAGCATCTGGCTCTCTGTACGTCTGTGAACATAAAGCGAAATACTCGCCTGTTCTCTGGATTCGCTCGTCTTCGGGTTGAAGTGAACATGATTTTTTTTTTCTTTTATTCTCCCCCGAAAACCACAGAGACATCTCACATCAGCCAAAGTCAAGTAGTTCTGTGGAGGTGTGAACAGGCGAGGTCTCTGCACCCAGGAAGTAATAACTCATTTTAACAGGATATAAAGTCTTTGTTCAGCGTCCGTCATCTCTGCCCCGAAACTTTTCCACTGGGTCTTTTTGCAGCTTTGCTATCAGGGTAAACACAGCTGTGACCAATAAAAAAACCTAATAATGGCTGAAGTGTAATAATGTAAAGGTTGTAATAAGTGTGCAATCACAATCAGGATAATAAAAGTTTCGCTTTTATTCTCGTTATCAGCAGCAGCTGTGTTTACACCGCGCTGAGTCATCTTTTAAATTAGACCAACACGACGTCTCATCCAATCAAATTCAGGCCAAGGTGGCTCTCTGACAGATGAGGAGGGGGTTTAAGGATTCCAGACTCCATGTTTGGACATTTGACTTCCTGAGAGAGAGGACTTTTTGAACGGGCTGCAGACAATTTTTTAAAGTTAAAATAAAACTCAGGATTATCACATCTGTCAGGAAAACGCACATTTTTAAGTGAAGCGTCACTCATCCATCATCCCAATTAACCTAACGCCACTTCACACAGACACCGGGAGAACATGCAAACTCCACGCAGAAACGCCCTGACCCGGATTCGAACCCAGGACCTTCTCGCTGTGAGGTGACGGTGCTAACAACTACACCACTGAGCCGCCCACACAGAGAGGAATGCATGATGCATTTCAACTTGTATTTGACAGAAGATATTATAGGATACATGGGGTCAGAACATGTCAGTCAGGTATGTAGGTTTGAGAGCTCGATTACGCTCGGTTGTCACATGACCTGACCTCTAATCAGAGACATAACGGCGTTTATTCGCAGAGAGGTTGAGCGTCTCTTTTCGAACCTCTTTCCTCCACATTTTCACAGACAAACCCCCGAGCCATTTTGTCATTGAGATTAACTACAGACCGCGCACGATGACTATGCCTCGGTTTCCATGACAACAGCACTTTCATTTCCCCCTAATGATGGCTTAAGATCACTTCCCGCCACCCTCATGCCGAGGAGTCTTTCACCCCGAACCTGCATTTGAGCGGAGCGAGAGGGGGATCGCCCTTGAGTGGTGATCTATATGTGAGCGTGAACGTGAGAGCTGAAGGTGGAAAAATCATCTCCTCTCCAGGTGTTCCTGTATTCCACACACTTTAGGAGTGTCGGGTGTGTTTGTTTTCGTGGTCTGCTTTTAAATTATCTGTACCGGAGGACGCCTGAGTGTGTTTACAGTCTGATAAAGGAAGAAGAAGAACAAACAGATCTGCCTATCCAACGTTTGTTGAGGTGCACTTTGGACCAGGATCTACACAGGATCCAGATCTGTTGTGTACTTGATCTCTGAATCTGAATGTGGGTTTTATTCCAGACCTTGAGTACGGACTCCAGCTGAGACTCTTGGGTTTGTTTTGTGCCACATAATGTCATCGGCCTCGATGTTTAACCATCTTAATCTGACTTTACAGCTCCTCCCAAAAGGGTTTCAACAAACCCCACATGTCTCCTCAGAGTCGACACTGGGGTGACGTCAAGGTGCTGACCTGTTGTTTCCTGCTCAGGTGGAGGACTCGCTGTGAGACACCGTGGACCACCAGGAGGTCTGCTGTTGGTTTGTGTTCTCTGCTGCTGATTTAATCTGGAGGAACATGAAAAAAAAAAACTCTCAGAGAAGTTAGAAATACTCTTGTTGGTTAAAAAACTGGGATCATGAGTTCATGACGTGTAGTACCTTTTTATTTTTTTAACCTGCATTTATGGAGGAAGCGTTGAGGTGATTGGAAGCTTTGAGCTCATGCAGTGATTCCCACTACAGAGTCATGTCTGTCTTTAACACGGTCTCTCTCTATTTTGTATATAAATGGTTTTATCTTCTCTAGGTGATGAAATGTTGAACATTTTGCTCTTTTCTTTGTTTCCCTGCTGGTATATATTTGTTATTTTTACCTTCAATACCTGATCATGTTTTTTTTGCACCATGATCAATTGATAATCGGGTTTAATAAGTGATTTGCAAATAAGTAAATGGTGTTACACAGTAAATCTGTCCTTTTGCTGACTAATAAAACAGAGCCCTGAGTCAGCATCGTGGGCAAACGTAAACAGTCTGGTGTAGTTTATTTATATTTTTGTATCTGAAGATGGTGGAGCTTCTCTGGGACCCCGTTCTTGTCTTTTTCATTGACTCTTATTTTTTTTTGTCTTGTTTACATCGTTAACAGACTTTCACCGTGTCGGTTAAGCTGCAACAACTCCAAAAATCAAACATACGTGCAGAAAAAGTTTCCCCAAGTTCGAACAAAGAGTCTCTGTCTCTGTTAGTATTACGTTTCGGTCGTTTTTCAGCGTTAAATAACTTCTAAAGGGTTTCCGATAATGTTGTCTGATGAGTCATGGAAATAATCACCTAAACCTCCTTCAATTCCACATTTGGGATGAAATGAAACTGAAATAAAGTTGAACAAAGAATTGGAGAATGTGAATGTGAAAGAGATCGATCTTTAAAAGGCTGAGTCACAAATCCAGTTCATGTTGAAACCGTAGAGTTGTTTTGTCGGAGGCGTCTGGAGTGTGTCGAATCAGGGAGGAAAACGAAATTAAAGCACTGTTCCCTCACCAAACAGAGCTGCTTGAACTTGATCCTGCTTTTGCTCAGGAAAGGAAGTGATGAACAGTTATTGTTGAAAATGAAACTCTTTCACAGATGACGTGTTTCTGCAGAGATAGTTAAAACATGGAGTCATGGAGAGGTCATGAAGCCAAAAGGTCGAAAGATTCTTCAGAAGACTTCGAGTGTCCGGTGCAGCGTGATTCGACCACAAAGAAGTTTGTATGACTGCCTGACGTACACAGATGTCCCCCACGTTTAGGTCAAAACACACTCAGCTTCAGCAGGATACAAAGATTCAAAAACTGTGAGGAGATACGGAGCAAATCTAGGAACGTCTCAGGAACATTCCTCAAGGAGCTGCAGCAGGTATACGATCAGGCCGCTGACATCCAGGACAGATACTTGGTCACTGAAATTACAAACAGCTCTTTGTTTGAGTCTCTGCTAAACTTTTGTTTTAAAAAAGAAAAGTCTGCACCAATCCCACTGGCTGCAGGTAAGAAGTATTAATCATTAAGTGACATCAGGTTATGAGAAATATCTGCTCTTGGGCCGGGTTCGACCCCGTCTGCCCTTCTCCCTCCTTCGAGGGTTTCTGTGCATAAATTAAGCATCAGTTTATATCTTAAAAAAAAAAGGTCAGTCCTTGAGAAGACCAAGCCCTTCAGCTGTGAAAGGACTGAAAAGAGTTCCAAGTTATTATCTCTTTCTATCTCTCTGTATTCCTCCCCAACCCAGCAGCGCCTGGTGGCTGGGGAGTCTGCCACTAGGTGTCTGGTCTGAGTCTGGTCCTGCTCAAGGTTTCTGCCTGTTAAAAGGAAGTTTTTTTCTCCCCACTGTCACTCATGTTGGATGAAATGGGCCACATCCCATTTTACACTCTAAAAACCCAACACCAGGGTTGGAAAGTGACCAACTACTTATTACACGCTCATGAGGTAGGCCATAGCGCTAAGGATTTTGCCTAAGAACCCACACTGGTAGATGCCGTTCGCGTTTACAGATGCGTCTCATGTGGGATTTCAACCCGCTGAGCTACCCCAGCCGCCTGAGATATATTTGCCATTAATATAATTGCCATTCGGACTAGAAACCATGAAGAGTCAATCGAACCCAACATTCTGACACAATCATTGGGTTCCTCTCAGAAAAACAGAGAGTTTTTAGAGTGCGCTACAGAGCTGCAAAATGTAGATTACAGACTCCACGAAGGTAGAAAAATGTCCTCATCCTAAAATCCACAGGAGTTCAAAGAGAGGCGACTTAAATGAGATCTCAAACTGAAACGAAGACCCTCTGCAAAATCGTCTAACTTTACAAATCAAAACAAAATATACGACCTTATGCAGATGACACTCAGATGTTCTTATCAGACCACTAAAGTAAAGACTGTGGTTCTTCATCATGAGTCAAATTTAAAGCTTAAACTCGAGTTTCCTGCAGGACACGGTCATGATTGGACGCTCTGTACCTTTATTTTGACAGTAACCACAACAGTCGCGTAAATATAAGGGAATAAAAAACCGAGTAGTTCACTTCAGTTGGTGTGAGACTTTCGTATTTATGAGTTTTGCTTAAGAATGAGTTTGATTGAACTTTTATAACTCTGGCATCAATAGTTCTTGTTTGTTTCGGGTCGAGTCGAATCGTTAAGAGATAAAAATATTCAGACGGCAGAAAGTCTGGATTGATTCAGTGAATAAAATTGCCACTTAGGTTCAAGACTCTGTATCCTTCTTGGTTCAAATACATTTCCATATAATCAAATGTTTTCACGTGGGAAATCAATCTCCACTCTTTATTAGTATCACATATTTCAGATAATAATTAAACCTGCTGTGATCCCAGCGTGTGACTCTGAGCTCTGACTCCCCTGATCACTGACTCCTACTGTAAGTCTGGGAGTTTGTGGTTTGACAGAGTCATGCTGAGTTTGTAATTACATGCAAAGGCTGATATTTCATTTTCTGTTTTGTCTTGCTTGGTGGTGTTGTGATTAGACATGATGTAAACACAAACCCTGAGGCTGCAAGAGCGACGAAAACGACAAATAACAGCTGATCCAGCAGAAGTGATGGATGTAGCTCGGCCTGTTATGTGCAGGTTGCTCTTTTTTCATGTTTATTTACAGAGGAATTAAAGCGAGCAAGAAAAGTGCAATAAAAGGGGACGTTTAGGAGGATGGCTGATGGACTGAGGAAAGGATAAAAACGAAGGACTGAGGAAAAGATGGAAAAATAGGAAACAGAAAAGGAGTTTCCAATCTAACGTACCGAGGGTTGAGAAAGCAGCAAGACATCAGATGATAACATCTGACAGCAGCTCTGCGATACGCTGGAGGGATAGAGAAACTCTCGGAGAGGGTGGGAATCAAACTCGAACAGAAAAACAGAGACAGACAGAAAGAAAGAAAGAAAAAAGAGATTACACCGAGAAAAAAAAAAGAAGATAAACCCCAGGAGGAGAGACGGGAAAGTAACAAAAGTGAAGAGAGGTAAAGCAACAAAGACTCTGCAGATTAAAATAAAACATCATTCCTTCATTTATTTTCATGTTTTAATATAAAATCATTAAAAGAAATAACAAAGCAGAGTATTTTCAAAGTGAAGCTGCTGTGTGCTTTAGAGGAGTAACCTGAAGGTGTCGAGGACACAGACAGAAGGTTGATGAAATAATATTTTAATCAATGAAATGGATGAAACACTGGTTTTCTGAAACCACCAAACAAATTCATGTAGTTCTTTATTCATTTGTATAATGAAAGGACATAAAAATTAAAAATGTACAGAACAGACCAAAACAAGAGCGGAAGTCTAATTCTGTTTAAAAGGCCTGAAGGAGCTGCTGAAATCTATAAACTTCTGTTTGAAACATGAAATATTTTTTTAAGTGAGTTTAAAGCCCAGAAAAGATCGATTTTGCTCATTTTTTCTCCTGTTTTGTGAATTATTTTATGCTCACACTTATAATCAGACTGTGTTTTCTTTGTCAACATGTGTCGCACACATCCAGTCACACTCCACATGATGAAATATGTACCACTATCATCTACATGTAAATTTACGTGCAGATTCATTAATCTCAGGGGGGATATTTGCACTGATAGAAAAACTGAAATACCCTGAACGCTGAGCGACAAGCTCACAGGAAACTCATCCATTTTTCATGTTTGCATTTACATTTAGCAGCCTGCAACACAGCGGGCGAGAAAGTCCACCAAAGACTGAATGCAAAACGATCTTGATAACACAAAGTCCTCTGCATCTTCTATTTCAGCCGGTTAGCTGGTTGGTTTCTGAGAGGGGGCGGAGCCAGACCCTTTCGACCAGGGTGGCCAAATATGTACGCACATCATGAAGCGTAAATATTAATTTTAGCGGATATGTTTTACTTCTTTTTTTTAAACTTTAAAAAGTCGTCACAGTTTAAAGTTCTGCAACTCAACCCAAAAGCTAATTTAATGTCAGTATTTTGGGGTGAAAAATCTGATTTTAGGGGGCGTGGCCTCTTGTTGGACCTGACTTTGGTTTCTAGATTAAGAGACTTGAATGTTTGAATATGAATGTAAACGTCATGCATCTGCAAGCAAACGCACAAGGTGATGTACTAACAGCGTGCACTGCACTTAAAAAAAAAAAAAAAATGGGTTGAAGAAAAAACCCAAGAGGTTTTAGAGTGTGAGGACTGTGTATTTGCACAAGATAATGTGCAAAGTTTTTGATTGGTGGATTAAAGTGTGAAGGATGAAGGATGTTTTGGGATGATCACCTGCAAAAAACACCAATAACACCTGCAGTATGATGGGGTCATGTGGAGTCTCAGTGAATCAGGTGTTTGAAAATTAAAATTCAGACTCTAATTAGAAAATCAGTGTCTGTTCTTATACTGCAGGGCTTTGCATAATAACTGGCCTGCTGGACTGAACGCCCGGCTGACAGACTCCACGTTTCTACGGCCCAGAGGAGCCAGTCAAGAGATCAATATGAGATCTCAAAATCCTCCAGAACATTTTCCGGTGATACTGGGAGCCAAAAACTGAAGAGAATCACCAGAAGGGTCAAACCAGAGAGACGAAGAGTGTCAGAGGTTTAACCCGACGGCTGGAGTTGGCTGAGTGATGTCGCAGCTGCAGGTCTTTTACAACAAATCAGATCAGCTTCTTCATTTTGGGAGTGAATCTTTGACACTTATTTCCTGAATCAGAGGTAACGCTCCAGGGCCGGAGATATTGGAAAGGTGATGGCCTGGAGGACCAACGGCAAAGGGAGTTAAATGTCAACCTCTGCACCAGAGGATCTTAAAGTTGAGTTCATGGAAACTGTGGGTGGAAAAATAACACAAGGAAGAAGACCTGAGGACGGGGACACATTTAAGAGGATTTACCCTCAAACTAAACTCTCACTCACGTTCATTCACCTACATGTTTGTGTCGCATCCTTCTACCTGGTCCTCTTGTTTAGGGCAGACCTTTTTCCTCTTGTGTTTGGAGAACATGGTCCACATTAATAGGCAGCTCAAACTCGAACCCACCTATAAGAGAGTGTATCAAGTACCTAAAAGGGGAGCTCAAGATCATCGTAAAGGTCAGCCAAGGTCGCCAGTTGATGACTTTATTATTTTATGGAGTCCTGGGCAGAAAAATCTGGGAACCTGTGTTCTTGTTAGAATTTTAAGACTCTTTTAGGACTCAGGAGTTAAGAATCATGAGAACAAGTCATTTGTCTGATATTTTAACGGGAATTAAGACTCACTTTTTTCAGAGTTTGCCAAAGCAGCCTGGCATGCTCTTGACGGCATATATACACGAGTTTGTGTAAATGAAAACTTTTCTGAAAACGTGGTGGTGTGCCCAGTTTACTTTTTCTGCCTCCTTCACTTTCTCTTTTTTCTACTTTTGATTAAACAACAGGGACGCTCCAAACAGCTCAGAGAGTAAGAGGAGGAATCAGCGCGAGGTTCTGTCAGATCTTCTGTCTCGCTCTCTCTGCAGCTGAAAGATTCATTCACACCGTGGAAAGTAAAAACATTTATACCTTCATTGGTATGCAGAGACACTTGTGGCAAATGGAAAACACCAGAACTAACAGTAACAAACGTCAACGTCAAACACTTCACTGTGAATTCTCGCCTCCTTTATCCGAAACTGGACTCAGATTAGACGATGCTCCGGCACTTTCTTCCTGAAGACAACATGAACCAACTGTGTCAGAACTTCAAGAACAGTTCAACAAACACACTCTGGAAACAGCAGGCGCTCCAAAATCTGGGCTGAACCACGGCAGGGTTGAACTATCTGTTTGAGTTTTCAGCAGCTTCTGTGAATTTGTGACCCAGAGGGGCTCCAATCGCTCCGTCTGAAAAGAGATTTCAAATTCAGGCTTTTTGCAAAATGATAAAGATGTTTCTGTAATACGGCTGCGGGATGTTCTGCGGGTGGCTGGAGTTTGATTTGTTGCCAAAAGTGGCTGCAGAGAGTACGGTGAGAACTTGAAAAGGCTTCACTGGATGAAAATGTTTGAGTTTGACCTTTATTGTCCTCTGAAACACCGGGGGCCTCATTTATCAGGAGGAGGAGGAGGAGGAGGAGGAGGAGGAGCAGACGCTTCTCCAAGTCCTCCAATCGTCCAAAATAAGCCATGATATTTATATTTGTACTTGTAAGACTTCTTCTGAGGTTGTCCTGTCACAGCTGATTCTATAACTTGTCACACCAATCTTACCTAATTGATCGATTTTGTACAGAGAGAAAAGAGAACGTGTGAAGTTTAAGATTGCTGAACGCTGTGACTCTTTTAATGGTACTAGTTGTAGTTTCACTGTTCTACCACTAGGGTTTGTGTGTAAGCATGCTCAGAGTTGGGCTTAAATTTACACACAAGTTCAGGTTGATAAATTCCAGACTTTGCGTGTGAATGTTCGTACTCATTACACACAGTCGATAAATGAGGCCCCTGGACTTCTGGGTCGGGTTTGATTTTCTGCTCAGGTGTCCTTCATGGTTTAAAAAATGATCCCTAATCCCAATCCCAGGGTTAGAATACATGTTCACAGCATGATGAGTTTGGTCTTTCAGATTAGGGATGAGGAATACGTCTTGTCGCGGGATGTGCGATAACAGTCACATGACCCGAATCGTTCTTCGTTGAACTGAGTCACATGACCGTTGAACGTAAACATGCACAGACAGTGTTATCTAAATCTCCGCACCCAGTTATGATGTAAGGTACCACGGTACTTAGTCGTGTACATCATGTGACTACTATGGCGTCTGACTTTGACGGTAAGGTAAAGCATGAGGCTCAGAGAGGACCAATGAACAATGAGCGCTGCAGAGCGACACACACAATAGATATCCAACTGTGATCTTCTGGGAAGTTTCTAACTTTTGGAGAAGCGTCGAGCTTTTTCTTAGTAAGGCTTGAAATGCGAGTGTGGCGTGATTGAATTATCCAGCGGCGCTGATTCGGGTTTCACGTGGGACATGAGCGGCAGTCCGTTCACCGAAAACCCCGAGAGCTTCCAGGTATGTTCCGCAGACACATGCTGTGTTGCCGTCAAAGACAAAGAGGTCTTTGTTCTGCAGCGGTAAAATTGCACCTCAAATATGATCAAAATCACAGACATGATGATTTTATGATTGTTATCAAACGGCTTTCAGACTTCAGGTATCAAGGCGGGGAGAAAATTGCCTCGAAAAATAGGACAGGGCTTATGAAACGCTGGAGGATAATTTGTTCTGTTCTTTAGAGAGGTGCTGTGTTTGTGCTGATGATCCCACGTGTGTGTGTGTGTGTGTGTGTGTGTGTGTGTGTGTGTGTCTGTGTGTTTGAAGGTGTGTTAAATTTCTTATCCCGCTGTGTTTCCAACTTCTACAAGGGCAGCTTTGAACTTCAGACAGGATTACTCCATCCATAAGAACACACACATGGTTCTGATTTATGTTGATGGTTTATTTCAGACCCGCTCTGTCTCTACTGTACTTCAGTAATGTGACCTTCAGGAGTCGTTTTATTAAGCGTAGGCACATAAGACGGCTCTCCATTAGACATTTCTTTTATTGCTGGGACGAGGGATGAGGATCGATAACGGGGTCCATTAGATACCCGATAAAGCATTTGTCAAAGTTTGTCACAAACTCAAAATCAAGTCTGAGATCAGGTCTCTGGGGTCCAGTGGAGTACATGTGCACATGCATTAAATGACTGTCCATTAAGTGTCTGAACAGCAAGTAGTTATAAAAGTACACAAAGACAAATGAAGGTCTGAGTTTATGTGCTTGTTAGACCCAGGACAAGATCACTGTTGTCCTCCTTTAACTCAGATTTTACTCGTTTTTTCAATTTCTGCCAAGATTTAACAACTTGATGTTGAGACTGAGTGTCGTTTGAAGCCAGTAAGCATCACGTATGGTGTCGTGGTGGCATTCCCCACTGAATCGCTGAGAGGAACTGTAAGGAGATGGTATGTATGCCGAAAAAGTCCAAGAATACTAAACATGTCCCTGTATGCCAAAAAAATATCAGTATACGGAAAAAGATGCAGAATGCTGAAAACGTCCCTGTGTACCAAAAAAGTTCCAGTATGCCAAAAATGTCCCTGTACATTGAAAAAGGTCTAGTGTGCTGAAAAAGTTCCTGAATGCAGAAAAAGTTCCTGTATGCCTAAAAATGTCCCTGTATGCCGAAAAAGTTCAAGATTAGTGAAAATGTCCCTGTATACCAAAAAAGTTCCTGTATGCCAAAATAGTCCCACAATGTTAAAAATGTCCCTAAATTCCAGAAGAAGTTCCTGTATGCCAAAAAGTCCTAGAATACTGAAAATGTCCCTGTATGCCAAAAAAAAAATCTAAGAATACTGAGGAATTTCCAGAATCCTGAAAACGTCCCTGGAGGCTGAAAAAAATCCCAGAAAGCTTAAAATATCCCTGTACATAAAAAAAGGTCTACTATGCCGAAAAAGTCCTAAAATGCTGAAAAAGTTCCTGTATACCAAAAAAGTCCCAGAATGCTGAAAATGTCCCTGAATCACAAAGAAGTTCCCATATGCTGATGTACATCTGTCTTTTTGTGTTGAGTTTGCTGCCCCCTGTGGACATTTTCGATTTTAAATTTGTTTGGTTTGGAGGTCACAAAAACCCGTCCCGAGTAATATCAGTCTTTTTTTCGTAATCCTCAAAACACACCTGACAGGAAATGAAATATTACTTCCTCCTTTTCTGTCTCACCTTGTCTTGACAGAAAGAGAAGTTCATATAAAACTCACAGCCTTCAAAAAATGACCTTTACAGAAATATACTTCCCTTATTCTCTGACATGTGAGCACACTCAGGCACCGCCGTCGCTGACATTTTCTAACCGCAATATAACAGAAAAAAAGACGAGCGGTGGGTTTGAAGGTTTTTTTTCTCTCTTTCTTTCTGTAACTGGAGTGAGCTGCAAGAATACGATTCTGTCAACAACCTTGAGGCTGAAATTTCCCTTGTTCAGGAGGACGGATCAGACTTATATTTAGATCTGGGTGTAGTTTTACTTTATCTTAGACTTATAACAGTGTCATCAGGAGTAACTCAGAGTCAGAATCTGTTTTATCAGAATAATTAAATGTCTGTTTAAAAAATAAGAGGGGAGGTTTTAAAGAAGAACAATTTTATTAACATTCCAATCTCTGAAATTTTGCTTTTGACTTATTATTGCTAATCACAAGTGGACAAGCTGTCCGTCAAATTTCATAGTTGTTTGTGTTTGGACATGTGCACTCAGTCTAGATCATATAAAAACAAACACCTACACGTGATTAACAGCCTGCTTAATTAGAACAATGTGCACATAATTAACAATATGCACATAATAAATGACCTGCACATGAGTGACAGCCTGTAGTGTCCTTTTAATGACTGTTCGTACAAAATGCTTCGTAGAGTTTTTAATGTTTTTCTTGCGTTTGCAGAAATTCACATAAATCATAAATAAACTCATAAACTCTTTAATGACGTCTCTGAAAGTCTGAAAACTATTAATCCGTGTAAAAGTTTCAAACTTGACATCCGATAATGAGCAGCATTATATCAAACTAAACTGACACCACAGTAAATAAGCAGGTGTTAATTACTTCTACATGTCAGACTCTGATTTTTTCATGATAAATAAACCAGAGAGGCGAAAACGAAGACAGCAGGAAACAAAAGACCAAAAACTGTTCCCCAGGGGTCTCATTTATCAACCCTGCGTAATGAGTGTGTACGAACATTCCCACGCAAAATCTGGTGCGTAAATTTAAGCCCAACTCTGAGCATGCCTGCACACAAACCCTAGTGGTCGAACAGTGAAACTACAACTAGCCCGTTAAAGGAGTCACAGCATTCAGCAATCTCAAACTTCACACATGTTCTCTGTTTCCTCTGTACTAAATTTATCAATTAGCTATTGATCAGACATTTTGAACGATTGGTGTGACAAGTTATAAAATCAGCTGTGACAGGACAACCTCAGAACAAGTCTGACAAGTACAAATACAAGTACAAATACAAGAACAAATACAAGTACAAATACTAGAAAAGCACTCGGAGAGCGCAGACCTCCGCCAAGCAGCTCATGTCCCCCCTTATATTGTGATTCACACCAAAACTTTTACTGTTTCGTGTCTTTTATGAACGTTTATTTGTGTTTAAACTGTAATGTTCACCGTTTATAATGTTCCTAAAACAAGAGATGCCCTGACCGGGATTTGAACCCAGGACCAGAATTTAAAAACCTTTTGTACGCACGGTTGATAAACGAGGCCCCTGGTCGTTGGTGGAGTGGAAAAAATAGTTCTAATGTTTCTGTAACTTTCCGTACCTTCCCCTCAGATCAATATTGGTGTTAAAGTCCAATCTTTTTTAATGTTACAGTTACCATTGGCTGCCAAGCTGACCGGCTCCTCTTGTGGGTTATAATCTCAGTCTTAACCAGAACCTCATAAAACTCCACTTAGAAAAAACTGCCCCTCTGTCCCTGTGGCGTTCTCCTCCCAGATGACGGCAGGCAGCCCTCTTCGATGTCTCATCCTTTTCTTTGCCATGTTTTATTAACTCGGTAAACGACCTCCTCTATCTGTGAGGGACTCTGCCTGAAGGGAAAACGCCTGCGCTCACTTCGCAGTGGCACTGTGGCACGGTTTCTTGGTCTCAGAGCTGAAGGGGGATTAGTATTCAGCGACCGTCTGCTCAACACTCACATTTTACTGCAGGGAGAAAAGTACAACACGAAGCTCGCAACTATAGTGTTTGTACATTCATGGAGTAAATCAGGATTAAATAACCCATAATTACCACTAAAAAGACGATTTTAGTCTAAAAGAAAGTCATAGAAATTGAAGAAACATTGAATCGGACATGTTTGAAACAAATTAAATCTTGGTATTCATTCAGCGAAGAGTTTTAAAAGTGTAAATATCATGAGTGCATAAAGAAAGCTGCAGTTTGAAGTGATCTGATTGGACACTTACAGACGTGTTGAGTTAGTTCTGCATGTCTACAGGAATATTTAACATTTAAACTTCATTTATATTCCACTGACTGTGTTTTCTGCCTTTGGGGTGAAGATTTATATGCATATTACACTCAGGACCGTATCTGTACTTCTAGCCTGACTGCATGTGAAATGCAAATAAAGTGAATGATGTTTCTATAGCTGACAGAGTCACGTCAGTATTTATAGCAGCTGTATATGATCACCATATTCTCACTGTCACACCTTCTTTAACTCACACATTCACAAAGCAGAAGTTTGCGACTTTTATAGACCACGTCCCCGCTCACAAAACAATCCCCAAAGTGATTCGTCTACCTCTCCTTTATGGATTTGAGTTCACAAGGAGGTAAAATGTCATAAACTTCTCCTCCTGCTAAAACTGAGATTGTGGGAAAACAAGTTCTTCTTCAGCAGCTGGAAGGAGGAGATAAGAAAAGCAAATGTCCTGGTTCTGGTTCTGTAAAGATACACAAAGCAGGAGGCCTAAACTGTAGTTCACGCTTCATCCTTCTCCAATTGTTGGTCTTTGAGATGATTCTCCCTGCAGATGATCATTTTTAATGTGTGCAAAGAGCAATTTTTCAACTCAAATGGGCAAACAAGCTGCAAAAACCAGACAAACGCACCCATGCTTATGAAGTTACAGTGGAGAGGAAGAACTTCCTTTAACAGGCAGAAACCTCGAGCAGAACCAGACTGATGTTATGTTTAGAGAGGGAGGTTTAGAGACTGATGCAACAAACTGAACCAGCACGATCCAGAGAAACCTACAGCATGATGGAGCTCAGGGACTCAGAGACCCAGAAAGCCTAAAATCAGATCTAAAAAAGTGTGAATGAACTTTAAAAATACAGAAGAAAGACAAAGTTGTATATGATGAATCTTTTGGCGAGAGTAGCTAGCCAAATAATCCCAGTGTGGGCGGTGTTTACGTCTCTGAATATTCTCAAAATAACAGTTATCGTCATCAACTGTTGAATTGAATTTGTCTGGATTTTAAAGGGATATTACAGCATGAAATTAATGTAGGGTCAAACACACTAACACCGAGTTGGACACCCCGTCAAGAGATGATCATAAATGTTCTTCCTTGAGCTGCGGCACTCCGCTGTAGTCCATAATGGACTGGCCTGAGGTCCCCCCACAAACAAGCGTCTGCTGGAAGAGAGTAGGTGAGTTGTGTTTAGTCTCTTTGCTAAAGAAATGAGTCAAAGTTAAAAAGATGTTTGGTGTCTAGTACTATGGCTGGGACCCTGGTTGGGGGCGTGGCTCTCTGTATTTCTATCCTGCGGTCGTTACTAAAGTTGGTATAACTAGAGAAGCAAGTGGTCGACAACATTCATCTCTGGAGGGGGGGTCTAACTTGGTCTGTTTGACCCTAAATTGATTTTAAACTGAAATACCCTATTAAGGGGTTAAATTTTCTGTAACACAAACTACACACTTGCACATTACTTCTGTTGGTGTTTGATTCAGCACTGTAAAAGTTCAATGAATAAGACGAATATCTTTGAGGCTGAAACCCTTTTTTTTCCTTTATGCAACAGTCGATGTTAAACGGAAACTAGAGTTTCAACATTGCTGATAATCGAAAAAGGAAATTGAAGTTTTTGTGCCTTTCAGCTCCAAGGATGAGCTTTTAAACTCCAGTGGAGGAGATGTTTTTATACAAGAGGAGAGACAGATGATGCTGCTGCGCTTGTCTCTGTTCATGAGTGAGTAGAAAGCCTCTGCAGAACACCTTACCTAAGAGGTATTTTTAGACACCTAGGACTTTTTCTGCACTCACAGGCCGCGTTTGTTTTCAACCTAAGAGGAAGAACCAGCGTGAAGTCCGGGACAAACCGCAATCTGACATTTCAAAAGCAGGCAGAAACTTGTTTGTTACTGTGAAACCCTGACACCCTGCCTCCGGACTGAGTCAGAGCCACGATTTCCTGATAACCATCAGTGACACCTGCTGACCCGTGGCACTAAGTAATAAAAGGTCAAAGCATGGTGGGTAATGAGAGGGGAAGGGGTTATGAGTCACCGCTGGAGCTGCTGGGCTCTGACAGAAGTGAGGACAGTTTCGGACTTTTTGATTTCATTTCCCACGGACTCTCTCCTGAGGTTAAAGGAGATATAGACCCGTGTCACAGCGAGATTTAACATCTCAGACATTCTACTCGCCATCACTGCCAAGAGTCAGCCTCATAACGTGAGTTTTGTGTCTCAAAAGTGGATATGTTTCTGGATTGAGTCCAGCCACTGACAGTGGGGCAAAAACGTATTTGGCAGCAACTGATTCTGCAAGTTGTTCCACTTATAAAGATGAGAGAGGCCTGTAATGTTCATCTTAGGTAAACTTCAACTGTGAGAGACAGAATGTTAAAAAAAAATCCAAGAAATTACGTTATATAATTTTTAAAGAATTTATTTGTTTAGTGGTGCAGAAAATAAGTATTTAGCACCTTCAAACAAGCAAGATTTCTGGGCCTCACAGACCTGTTACTTCGTCATTAAGAAGCTTTTCTATCCTCCACTCGTTATCTCAATTAAAGACACCTGTCCACACTCTTAAACTGTCAGACTGCAACCTCTCCACTTTGGAGACCTCTCCACTCCTCTACAGCCCCGGTTGATACATGATTGAGATTTTGCATGAAGACAGTTGGTGGAAGTTTGCGAAGAGTCCGACTTTCACTTTGAAATGATTTCACTTCACTTCTGATTTTAAAGACAGCTCTAAAGAGGAGGCGACTTCTCTATTGTCCTTGAACTTTTGACATATTCTGCTAAATTGTTTGTCAGCGCTTCAATTAAAGGAGGGAGTGAGCAACATTAAGAGTGATTAACTGAACACACACACACACATGCAATTAGAAGATGCTTCAAACCTCCCGGGGAGTTGGGTCTTCAGAGATCATGAAGCTGAAGATTAATGATGCTGCTTGTTTATTAAAGTCGAGTCTCAGAGAGGGAAATGTTCATTAGTAGTGTTGTTAGACTACATGTAATTATAGAAAACTCCTGGACAGATGGGTTATTGAGAGTTAAATGAAAAAACTCCAACATTAAACAGGATTGATCTGTGTTTAAACTGATGCACTTCTTCTGCAGCTTCATTCCCCTGCTGGAAAATTCTCTGAATAAATCGGATCGTAAACAGCTGTGATGTTGGGTTAAAATGCTCCCTATGTTTTAAGCTCTTAAAAAGCTGTTGTGACTCGGGGTCTCTGCGGCTTTGACCCCATCATCAGCTCCTTTATCTGGCTCTTCATTGTCTGTTTACCTCTGAACAATCCAATCTGGCTTCAATTAGCTCTCAGGACCTCTTGGTCGGGTCGGGCGGATGTGGAACAATGCTCTGCCTTTGTTTAATATTCATCAAAGGAGCTATTAGCATTCACATTGGTAATATGAGATATAATTAACATTCAGGCATTGATTTGTGTTTTTTTTTTCTGCTTTTAGGGTTCATTAAAATTCTGGACTTCCAGAAGCTGATGGAAATCTCTCTCTGCCAGTCGGTGTGTGTGTGTGTGTGTGTGTGTGTGTGTGTGTTTGCAAAATAAAATAATTTTTATTGGATGAGAGAAAGAGAGGTGAAACTACGGCTTTAGCCCTGTGGTATCTGTCTGTAAACCCACAACATGGATATATAAGGGTTCTTTGCTTTGATGTTTTAAGGGTTCTGTGCTTTGATGTTTTAAGGGTTCTGTGCTTTGATCTTTCAGGGTTCTGTGCATTGATGTTTCAGGGTTCTGTGCTTCGATGTTTCAAGGTTCTGTGCTTTGATGTTTTAAGGGTTCTGTGCTTTGATCTTTCAGGGTTCTGTGCATTGATGTTTCAGAGTTCTGTGCTTTGATCTTTCAGGGTTCTGTGCATTGATGTTTTAAGGGTTCTGTGCTTTGATGTTTCAGGGTTCTGTGCTTCGATGTTTCAGGGTTCTGTGCATTGATGTTTTAAGGGTTCTGTGCATCGATGTTTTAAGGGTTCTCTGCTTTGATGTTTCAGGGTTCTGTGCTTTGATGTTTCAGGGTTCTGGAACATAGTTGCAGATGCCGTGTTGATTGCTTGATGTTTTAAGGGTTCTGTGCTTTGATGTTTCAGGGTTCTGTGCTTCGATGTTTCAGGGTTCTGTGCATTGATGTTTTAAGGGTTCTGTGCATCGATGTTTTAAGGGTTCTCTGCTTTGATGTTTCAGGGTTCTCTGATTTGATGTTTCAGGGTTCTGGAACATAGTTGCAGATGCCGTGTTGATGCAATCTGCATTGCACTTCTGAATTCTGCTTTTAGTTACATTATGAATAAGACTCTGAACGTCTATAAAACCCTTTCTATCCTCTGTGCTTCTGTCATCCGGTATATCCTAAAGGTTTCCTCTCTTTTTTTCCAGCTATCATATGGTATCAAATGGATCTAAATGAAGACACTCACCATGACCTTAGTTTTTTTAAAGGTCTGTTTTGAGCCAGAGTCGATCATTTACAGACAGAGAAACCAACAAAGCGTCTCTGAGCTCAGGAAATAATTACTTCTGAGCGGTAAAACAAGTTTTTGCTGCTTCAGATCTTTTTTGCAAACACCCACTGACACTGAGATTTCCGACTTATCTTTGCAGGCTTTAAAAAAACATCCATCCTCGCACTATTCAAAGAGAAATCACTCTCATCACTAAAACTGCAGCTCTCTTTGATCAGATCCTCAAACCCTTTTGTGATTTTACTCTCATCCTTATTTGATTTCCTTCTTTGCTAAAATAAGATTTATGAACAAATATTCCGTCGCTGTGGTTGCACGAGTCTAATGAGTCCAGATCAGAAAATGAGCCGATGACACTTTGAAAGATAAACTAACAGGATCAGGTAATTATTTCCGTCCTGACCCAGATGCATCGAATATTAAATTCACTGCAGGAAATCTTGACATTTACTTTGATTCCTTGCAGCACTGAGTTATATTTGGTGAGTTTAATTACATCCTGGTACTTACTTTGGAGACAAATTAATGAGGTGAATCTAATGTTGTGTTTTCAGTGTTTGGATTAAAAGTTGAGCCACAGATGGTGATGCTGTCTCCTGTTTGGGATGTTAATATTTACAATAAAGACGTTTAAATCTGTGGTGAGAGGTTTTCTAAACTCTATATTTTGAACTTTTTGTGCAGCACACCTACCCAGATGTTTACTGTCTTGAATGTTTTGTCTGTTTTTCAAAGATGCTGTTTTTTGTTTTGGAGCTTTATTGTCTTCTTGCTCTAAATTTGAACCCTGTAATTTTCTAAGACAAGAGCATGAAGAGACATTTTCCCTCAATGGAAAAGTAGCAGGAACTTTCTTTTTTCAGCCTCAATCACATATTTTAACACCGATCATCTTAAATGTTTACAAAAAAAGAGGAAAGGAGTGCCTTCCCTAAAGAAAATGATTCTTCTGAACCATCATGGATCAGTGGTTTTAGCACTTCTAGGATCAGCATTTCGCAGTTTATCAGATTAACAACGTCTGTAATGGGTTTACTTTTGATCTACACCAGTCGAGTAGTTACCTCTGAGCCTCAGAAATGAAGATGTAAAAGTGATAAAAACTATGGTTACTAAAGGCTAAAAATTCTCTATAAATCCTGGTGAACTAATCCTAATCCTTTTGTGCAGCTTTGTTCCCCGTGTCGCTCTGTCTCTTATCCCTGTTAGCAGCAGTGGTAAGCAACAGGTGGCCTCAATTATGCAGGTTTGATTCCCTTTACTGATACATGGTGTTATGTTTTGTAACAAGTCATCAATTAATACTGTCAATCAATAAGCAAAACTTGACCAGATTAACTTTTTGGGTGAATAAAGGATTTATTTAATCAGCTGCATTTTCAGAAGTTGGTTTTCATTCGGCTGTGATGGTCGGATAAAGCGTTTAGAAGGTGTCAGTCCAGTGTGCAGGATTTCTGTTTAAAGCTGGAGTAAATTCAGGATGGTTGATTCAGGTTTTTAGATTTTACATTGTTGAATCAGCTGATCAGATCACCCTGAAGAAGTGTGTAGAGAGAGAACAGGAAAGGACCGAGGATTGAACCCTGGGGAACTCCTCACAGCAAAAGACACATGATTATTAATGCAAATATTCTCATTTCTATCTCTTAGGGAAGACTAAAACCATTTAAAGGTTGAAATAGTGAAATTGCACAATTAATGGGATCAAATGCAAACAATAAACTCACTTTTTACAACAGCAGCAGGTTAATCAGCAGGAGGAGCAGCTGTTCTTCTTCAGGGTGAGAGGATGTAGCCTTTAGGTGCTGCAGGAAGTCCTGAAAATGAGACGCTCTGAGGTTTTCACGTCTTTTCAATAATGCAGCAGGGTGAGCGTGGTTAGCATCACCTTGATCTGCAGAATATCCCGTCAAGTCTGATCCTGTAGGTGTTGTCTGAGTTTAGAGGAAGACATGACTGGATGGATACAGGACAGTGATTGGTGACTGAGGTTTAAATGGGAACAGGTAAATAAAACCTTCAGGAATAAAAACGTCTGCTCTCCAGCTCTTCATGTAATCCTCCAGTTTGAGGATTTCTGCCTGTTCTTCAGTTGATCTCCAAACTGTGAAAGTTTTACTCCAGCTCCTGCAGAGGAGGCTTCATCAAAGATAATAACCACGTTACACGGACTCTTGGCTTCAGTCTGGAGTCTGCTTGGCCGTCTGTTCTTCCTTAAGAGCTTGGACTCCTGCCACCGCTGGTCATTTCTTTTCTGCGAGGCCCGAGCGAGAGGAGGAGCGATCCCTCCGGTGAATGCATCATGTCTCAATGCAGCGGGCCTCAGCTGGATAAGTGGAGCAGATAACCGCGAGCAAAGAGAGCGAGGGAAAGAGGAGACTAAACAACGCACTCCGCTGCTTGTTTAGCAGCCTCTCAAGGTGCTGAGAGGACTGTTTGTATCTTGATGCGCACATCAAACCCAGAGGGACTTGGAGAAGACAAGAGCTTTTGTTTATTGCTCATGTTGGAGGAAAGACAGACAGAAATGCTTGAGGGGAACATCCGAGCAGTCGGCAAAGGCTCAAAAGTATCTTGTTAACGGGTTTGCAACGGAGCCACTCACCTGTGTTTTATATTTTATTTAATAAGCTTCGACACAGAGAGACAAGTTCACAGTGAAATACTGCAGTGATGGTTTCTGGACGGAGTCATCAAGATAAAAAAAGAATAATAAAATGTGGAGGAAAAAACTTTTTTTATCTCTCGTTGTTCATGTCGAGGTTTAAAGACGAAATAATCTGAATTAGTCACTGATCGTCACAAGATGTCAGACGATCTAAACGCTCGTTGAGGTTCAGCTCTTGTATCTGCAGTCTCATACGACCTGTTTGTTTTGTGTTACAGTACTATGTGTGTGTTTCAGAAGGCTACCCATTTTTGTTCGGTCACTTTGTGTGATTACAGTTAGGACCGTTGTGTGACGATTGTTGGTGGCAACATTTGTGTAGTGGTGGTTGCCATGTGACCATTTTGTGTGGTGGTTTGCAGTCCACATTTGGTGTTGTGTCACTTGTGTTGCTGCTTTGTATTCCTAACGGTATGTTCTGTTTGTTTGACTTGTTGCCCATCTGTGTTGTGGTGGCGGCAGTCCCTTTTGTTGGATCTTTGTGTGCTGTTTGTGGATGACAGCAGTTTTGTAGTTCTAACTACTTTTATTGATCTGTTTGTGTGTGACTGTTCACTCCACATTGGTGTTGGAGCTGTGCATGTAAACACACTGAGTGAAAGATCTGGTCGGGGTGGTTTGGATGGAGGTCTTCCCATGACAAGTTGCAGAGATTGAAGATCTCACCTGGATTTGTAACGACCCAGAATCCCCTCAGGAAGATCCGGATGTCTGGATGTTTTCTTTGTAGCGTCCTCCTCACACACACCAGAGCCTGGATTGTTGAGTTTTAGTGGAGATAGCAGGTTGTGGGTCTGGCTCAGAAGTCGGAGAATAAGTCTACATGGATGAAAAAAAGAAGACGTGATGAAACACATAGTCTTCTTCTGTAACTCCAGCCTCTCTCCGTCTCTCTGCTCTATCATATCTCTCTTTCGGTGATGTTTTCATCACGCCAGACGTCTCTTCAGGCCTGACATCAAACACGCCCAATCCTTTTACCGCTGCACACTTCAGGAGAAGCTATTAACGGGTTCAAAGGCCTCCTGCTGCTGAGGGTAAATATAACACTTAACAGGAGGCCAACAGGGGCGGGACCATCGATGGAGAAACAAAGATCTATTCGTTTTCAATCAGGTCTGAGGTAATTGAGCCGTTTAGACAGGATCTATATAACTGTGTTTGTCCTTTCAGTCATTTGATGTCTGATACGGGTCTTTAAACGTCTTTTTTTTTTTAACACAATCCCCACAAAAGATCCAGGAGTCACTGAAACAGATGATACAGGAACTCCATGTGCAGTAGATCCGAAAAAAAGCCCTTCAAGAAAACAGGAAGTCAGCAATGAGTCTTAGTTCGGCATTGGATCTGAACCCTCGTACCACGGGTGCAGGTCTTAGTTTGGTTGATCCTGGACCGCCAACCTTTTCAGACTTTCTGGCTCTGCAGTATGGACCCCCAGCCTCCCAAGGAGATTGAAGATTAGTATTTAGATTCATCAGTCTATTAAAGGGATACTCCGGCGTAAAATCACCGGAATATCCGAACCCTTAATCTGAGACCAGACCCAGATGCAGATCAAAAGTCTGATTCTTTATGCTGCTGCTATTGTCACAGTTTTTTCTTGTATCAGTCGGTGACTAAGAGATGGACTCTCGAGCTCTGCTGCCTTTGCAGAAGAAGATCTAACAATGTGGACAGAGTTCGTCTACGAGTGAAACGCTGCCATGCAAAGCCAAAGCCAGATATCACGTCGAGGAGATCTGACCTCTCAAAGTCAGGCTGGGTGATCCGAACAGAGGACACAGGGGCGGTGGGTGTCGAACAAACACACGTCTGCTTTTCTCATGAATATGTGAGCAGAAAGCAAACACTTCTGACGCCTCTTCCTTTAAGATAAACTTTCTTCTTCTCTGAGGAGTACTTTGACCCTTTCAGCTCATTAATGATCATTTCTATTCAAACATTCCCTTTGAGCTTCTTCAGGGCTTTGAAATTAATTTTCCTGGAGTCAGCAGAATTTAGATTAGACCTGTTGTCTGGGCGAACCTCTCCGCTTTCATTTTTCTTTCATTTAAAAGTTTCACTTCATCCCCAGAGGGTTCAGAAGAAACATATTAAAGGAGAAAGTTATCTGTATTTCCTCGACGCCGTTCCTTTAACGTCCGCTCTCCAAACTCGTTTAAACTCTGGGGGCGTCCAATCAGAGTGGCAGACACTCCTGTGTAATGTAGGATACAACAAGCTCATAAAAAACACCCCTGAAGGCCAGTATGTCTGTGAGTGATGAGGCCAAATGTGAGGCAGGGATTTCCATTCGAAGCAGCTTGATGTGATTGGAGCCGCTCGCTTTGTCTGAGGGCACATTTGCTCAGCAGAGTCATTTTTTCTCAGCATTTAGATTCTCAAAAGCTCCCGTGTGTCTGAGAGGTTCTGAGCGCGCCCACGAGCGAATGATGAAAGACCGACCCCTCTGAGTCCGCAGACCGCACAGGCGCCCCGTTAGAGCGGAGGTGGAGAGTGACACGGCATCGATTCGAGGGCTTAGAAGTCTGCAGACGATTCGAGGGTAAACTCATGAATTTTAAAAAGTTGGACAAATGTTTGTGGTCAAACTTTGAAAAGTCTTTTATAGAGCTGATCGTACAAGTTCTCTGTAAATGGACTCTTTACTCGGGCTTTAATAAGACGTCCTTCACACATAAAGGAGCTCCTCCACAGACTGTTCTTCATGATTTATCTTTGTTGCATCATGTTGTTGAGATACATAATGAAAACATATGGATTTTCTCTGCTAGAAAGCGCCTTTACAGCTTATTTGGATAAATCAGCTTCACGCCTGTCAAGCTGTCGTCATTTCCATAATAAGCGTGACTTACTTCGTGGTCTTGACGGCGTTTGAGAGGCTCCCTCGGGTCTCATACAAATAAGACCGGCTGCTGTTACATCACTTAGGAGTGTGTTTGTTCACGGGTTTAAAAACCTCTTGAGTTTGAGTACAACACAAACATTGTTAGGATATTAAACAGCATTAACTCATTTTTTACTGACCAGTTACATGAAGTTTATTGCACGTTATTTGTTGTATTTTTTTACTTTTTAACCAACAGAACTTGCTCTGAAGTCTGGCTTTGCTTATCTTAGCTCTTTTGGAGCGTAGCGGGTGTCTGCAGAGCTGGAGAACCGTGACAGATCTACAACCCTCTTTTTAACGCTGCTCCTTTCTCGAAAGTTATCGGCTTGAATGGAGCGACGTCATGATCGCGTATCGAACGTGAATCACATATTTTTTTTAGTTATCAATAAAACTGTTGTCTTGAATTTGAAATAAATGTCAATGTGAAAGGCTCCATTCATGACATTTTCCCTAACCCTTTCCATTATAGTCTGAAATACACATCGAATCTTGGTCAAGCTAATGCTAACATTAGCATGTCGGAAGTCGGAAATGCAAGATTTAACCTGTAGGCTACTAGCATTGTAGTGAATGACACAGAAGTGCGATGTCAAATAATGTGCATGAGATTGCACGTGAAAATATATGAGAAAAACAGACAAAATATCACATTCAATATGTTCATGTGGCTCTGCAGACACTGACTATTGCACTCAGGGGGTCAAAATCATCGCCAAGGAATGAAGAGTATAAAAGTAAGGCCAATCCCTCTGATATTGGGATAATATAAGTTGATATTTTGGTAGAATAAACCAAAAATATTATAGGTAGGCAGGCAAAACATAAAAAGATGACAAGTAAAAAAAAAGTAAAATGAATAAAATCTAGATTAAAATATAAATATGTGACTGCGGTCACTTATTTATTGATTTACATGTTTTTTAAGTTAAATTTCCGGGTGTGGAACAGCCATTAAAAAGAGGGTTGTGGATCTGTCATGGTTGTGGATCTGCTCGACTCTCCTGCATGTTTTGGATGTTTTTCTGCTCCAACACACCTGATTCAAATGATCAGCTCGTTATGAAGCTCTGGAATGACTTAATAACGAGCTGATCATTTGAATCAGGTGTGTTAGAGCAGGGAAACATCCAAAATATGCAGGACTGGACTCGAGAACCGCTGCCCTAAAAGGTTCTGCAGGTTCTTGATTTGATGTTTTATCTCCTCTTTGCAAGAAAATATCGTGCATCATAAACTGAACTCCTCTCAACCCAGTCTTCAGTTTTAGTATCATGAAGCCACTCTTTGGACCTTCAGCCATCGTTGCGATCCAATGACCTTTAAAGTTCGTCTTTGGCTATTTCATTATTGATCCATATCCAGACCTAAAAGCAGTCTCCCTGTCATGATTAAACTGGTTTTAACACTTGAGGGACACATGGAGGCTGTTTTTTGTGTTTTTTTGTGGAGTCTCTTTTGGGCGGCTCCTCTTCAGCTGAAGCTCCTCCTACACCTTCACACCTGCACCTGATCAACCTGATCACCACCTGCTCTTAAGCTCTGCTCAGATCTCCTTCACTCTTTGGACCCCGGACCTCTCACCATCCCACACCAATCACACTCCATCTAAATACCTGCAATAACTAAAACACCAGTTGTGCAGTTTACAGCCAAGGTGCCAAATCACACAAATGTCGCTCCAGAGTAATTTCTAGGAAGACTTTATCGCACACTCACTTTTATCACCTTTGGTACACCCTCAGCGACAAGATCAACGCTGCATTCAAGGAGCGATTATTGAAATTAAAAGAGACGAGACCTGCGTGAAGATCTGTGGTGCGCCTGGTTGAAGTGATGGCGTGCAGCCTCAGAGGTGTTTATAAGGGAAATGAAACGGCGCTGAAAGCGTCTCAAAATGCTGCAGGACTGTTTAGTCATCACACGGTAATCACTGCAGCTTTTATCAGAGACGGAGTCGACCGTCGTGCACGGCGTGGAAACTGCAGCCCACCGCTGACACTCACGTTCCACTCACGGGGGGGTTAAACCTTCAGCGTATGAATGTAATCAGTTTTATTATCATATACCGCTGGTCTATTGAATGAGTTTGTTTCCCTGTGCTTCAGTGGATAACAATAGGTTTCTGATAGTCACGCTTTCTGCTGCCAAAAATCAAAAACTTTAAAGTTTTAGTCGAGCAGCTTTTTAAAATCCTGATCTCTAACCGTGAAAAATCTCCTCAGATTTAATCCTGCAGAGCATCTTGAGGAGCATCTGTGATGGTGTTTGGGGAAAAGTCAGATCTTACAATAAGGAGGAGCAGAAACCCGAACCTCGCCCTCCAGTTTTTTCAGGTCAAGCAAAAACAGACAAAGAGAATATTTCATTTTTGACTCATCCCTGATCCTGCTTTTGTCCTTTTCTTATCTCATAGATTTTTTCAGCTTCAGCTCACCGAACCAGTCTGACAGATCAGTGGAAATGATTTCTTAATATCTCTCGCTTTATCCTGCTGCTTGGAAATAAAAATCTGTGGCTTTGGTATTCCCTGTGATACCTCGAGGAAATCATATGTGGGTGATATAATTTGAAGCCTCTGTGATGGATCAGATCTTCAGACATCTTTTTCAACGCAGTGAAAATGTGGCGGATATGCAGAGAGGAGGATTTCAGTCCGTTAATGTTTTATTTGTCGAGTTTAAAGACTCAATACGAGTTTTTACAGATGAGGCAAGTAGAGAGACGTTAAAAAGGTCAAACAAAATAAAGATAAGGAACTAAAAAGTAAATGAGTAATTGACTCAAAACTGATTATTTGTTACGCTTTTACTTTGACATGTTTTTACAGGTCGCTGCTACAGCTAGTTTGTGAGCAGTCTGCCATCTCTTCATCATCCAACCTTCAGGACATGACTGTATGTTTATTTAAGCAAATTAATTTTGTGCCAGAATATCCCTTTAAACAAAACCTCCACAGGGGACGGCGTGCAGAAATGACAGAACTGTCTTATCGTACAGCATGACCTCCACGCCATAACTTTGACCTCCATGTTTGAGCACAGTTACCTTCGCCATACTGAAGTACACGAGTCTACATCGTCAGGAGGTTCGGGGGGATCCACACCAATCACATGTACTCAAGTCCACCCGGGTCTGCCATTATGCGGGGCTATTTCTGCTGTGTCCATGTCGATCACGTCAGCCTTATTAACCTCAAATAAAGAGGCTTTTAAAAGCAGGATTCTCACCTCGGGGTCACTGCAGAGTTCGAGCGAGTACACAGAGGGAGAGTCTCGACAGAAACGTGCTGCAGGAGGTTAAAGGACCAGGTGGGAAGACGGTGATCTCAGTGTGACTGAACTGTCCGTTGGATACAGCGGCGGCAGCGGCCGTGACTAACAGCTCATGGGGGAAATTAAGGTTTCTGGATCGTCTGCAGGTCAAGTGTTCATATTTTAGTTTTTTCAACTTTACACCCATCTCTGTGTTGAGTATTGATCGGGCCCAATTGAAGTCCAGTCATTAATCATCCGCAGTGTGCGGCAGGGGTCAGTTAGAGAAGGATGTTAGAAACGTCGATCAGCTGACTGCACACTCCACCACACAGCTTCAGAGCTTTTAGAGATCACCATGGCAACACACGGACATAAACATGCTCACTAATCGGCAACAACACCTAAAGTAATCAAGTGCATCAGCTCTGCCAGTAAGTCTTCCTGTGTGATCACAGTGTTTTTGATCATCAGGGCTTTTGCAGGAACGACAGGGTCCCAAACTTCGCTGTCATTGATCTGCTTCGGCCCGTTTCAGTCCGATTAAGATGCAAAAGAAAACCGATCCCCATCCATATTATCTGGGCAGAACAGTCCGACTGTCGGACATGTGTAACGCTGACTCCTTGATCGAACAGTTAGCAGATATTTACACACTAAAGTGGATTTCTCTACCCTTGACGTGGCACTCAATGAAGCTGAGGAGAGGTTAGGTCACCGGGGATGTGCCTTATGGAGCTGCTGAGGCCTGTTAAAGGAAGGACACATTTTAAGGCAGCGCTCGGAGCTTGTGAAATGGAAAATCCTCCTTCTGCCGCGTCGCAATCACTCTTAAATTGCTTCCTTTTAAGATGCAGACTCAGCCACACAGTCTCCCATATTTCTGCGCCTGATTTTACCCACTATTCCTGTTCCAGCATTTCTCTTTCAACCGCAGATTACTATCATTACAGAGGCGGAAATCCCACAAACGTAATACTCTTTGTATTTGATGAAAAGTAGAGGTTGGATATTCAAAAGGCTGCCGCTGTGGTCCATCGATTGTTACTCTGGCTCGCAGACTGAAGGCAGGAATCAATCATTGATCAAAGTCGAGCCGAGAAAGAGAATAAAGGAGTGATAGAGGATACAGGAAAACAAAGAGGTAAACAAAGAGTTCATGATACACTGAGAAGATGAACAGCTGTTACGTTAAAGTCAAAATGATGCCCGTGTAAGACTGCGATGATCATGAATTCTGCAGATTTAAGGATTCTTTGAGACCACTGAGTGACCGGTCTCCAAGGACACTGATATACTGGATCAGCCCCAGGAGGACCACTGGGATTCATCGCAGTCGGCTCATAAGATATCCAATATTTTTCTACGGCGTAAAATTAAGTTAGGGTCAAACACACCGAAAGACCAAGTTAGACAACCCATCGAGAGATGAATGTTGCCGACCGCTTGCTTCTCTAGTTATACCAACTTTAGTAACGACCGCAGGATAGTAATACAATAGCAATAATGCTCAGAACAGCACCTAACTTCATCAACAGGACATATAGGGTCACAGACATAGGACTAGTAACCAAACATCTTTTTAACTTTGACTCATTTCTTTAGCAAAGAGACTAAACACAACTCACCTACTCTCTTCTAGATCGAGAGATCAAGAGTTCTATTTTTTCCGGACGCCGGAGCATGGAGACGCTGATTCTAGAAGTAGATTTCCTCCTCTGGAAGGACACAATCTACTGCTTACATGTCTATGTGGCTGTGTTTATAGAGACAACTCGTTATCGCGCAATTGCATGTGAATCCGCGGAGTTCTCACAATTCCTGCTGTCCGTAATCCGCCACGAAATTCGTCTCACAAATGGATCTGGTAGGAATTGGCGAACAGTGAAAATCGCCACCGTTACGGATTTGGTGGAAAATCCCAGGTAACACTTGGTGGTTCAAAAGCCAGTATTTGCATCACTTTGGGGATCACGAGTGTCTGGTAGTCGTATCTTGCACATAAAAAAAAAAAACAGCTGCTTGTAGAAGCTGAAATCAAAGTTTAGTAGTTCGGGGTAAAGAATAGATCCTCTTCTATGCTGATGATATTTAAGTATCCCGTTCAGTGCACGCCTCGCTGAGATCTCCACCACCTGGGGCACCTGAAAGGTGTGCCTGCTGTGACACTAAGTAATGCTGTGGGATGGATAGTGGGCTAACAGCAGAATACCATGTGTATAATTTCACGAGGCTTATTATACACCATTTCACAAACATCTACATTATGCTGTTCAGTCAGCGCACTTAAGCAGCCTCCTACCCGCTCTGCCTGTAATTTAAATTATGAATGTCAGTCAGCATAAATAGATCTATGCTGTCTGTATCTATGTGGTCTAGAGCCTCTTTATATGTGTGTCGAGAATCCTCAGGTAATGGGGGATGATGAAGGGGGACGGCGAGAAAGAGGAGAAGAAGTTCTAGCTATTATAGAGACGTCTTAAATTAGTGTCTCCATTAGCACTTGTAAGTCTTCAAAGGTCAGTGGAGCTGGAAGCAGATGAAGATGAGTCCAGCTGAACACGCTGCTGCTGCTGCGGCTGCCCTCTCGATCAGCTGCGAAACGGAAAGAAGTCGTTGGAAATTGACACGTTAACTTGGAGGGTTACGGTCAGCTACGATCGGAGGATGCGGCGTTTTCGTTGGGGGTCAGTTTCTCTGGACATTTGAAGTGAGCATTTATTCTCCATCAAACAGCCAAATTTTTCACCTTCAACATCAGATATTTCATCTGTTTTAAATCCATTAATCTTGTCTTTATTCTAATTTTCTTGGCATTTGGGTCGTAGAACAGATGTCAAACGGGGACGCCTCTGCATCGCTCCAAGAAACATATCAGCAAACACCCAGGCAGAGTTCAAAGCATGAGTCAGCCTTGGACTTCTTTCATGCATTTGACGCCAGAGCTCATAGTTGTGGAAAAACAAACCGAATGATGAAAATACTCTTCAAGGATAAATAAAGAAGTCAGCTCTCACTCCCCAACACCGCTGTCCAAGTTTCTTCAAAACTGGCAGAGAGAAAAGCTCGGAGAGGTCGTCCGATCCACTCTGATTGTCAATTTCAATAAGTTAGCGTTAAAAAAACAAACTTTTTGTTGCATTAAACAAACAGAGAACTTTTTACATTGGTAATTGTGAGGTAATTTATGCCGTCTCCTAATTATAACAACACAACAAATCAACTCTTGGCACATAATGAGAGATAGAGAGAGCTTTAACGAGGTAAACGCTTCAATTAAGGAGTAATTAACATTAATGCTCAACAGCGGGACTACTGGAGAGAATCAGACAACAGGAAACATTCAGACGGATAAATACGTCAATGGAGTTAGTGATGAGAGCGGTGGTTACAGGAAGCGGTGGAGGTAATGAATGGAGACACATTAAATAAAGCAAAAGCGCATTATTGTAAAAAAAATATGTATTATAATCCTTTTAGTTGTGGCAAGAATTCAAGTCTGTAAATTCACTCGTTAGATCCTCAGAGGAGCAAATTACAGGATATTACCCGATCAATGATGAGTTTAACACAGACTAACAGTCCGATAATTTGTCTGAAAACCCCCAAACTAGAAAAAAAACATCCTCATTCTCTGGAAGAAGCAGCTAATTAAAAGCCGTAAAATGATATAATAGCAAACTCGAATCTCGCCGAAGGACGCGTGTTGTCTGCTGAACTCTCCTCCCTCCTCGTACACAGCGTGGGCTCTCTGCAGACTGTTAACCGTCTCAGTCTGGCAGCTGCTCTACAACACGGACCTGCTGCTCTTTGTCACTCTCTACATTCACAGAGAGCAGCTGTAGAGCAACAGGAGGCTCTCTAAAGAGGCTCGTGTCGGAGTATGAGGACCGGCATTTGACCCGCTGATGATGCAAAATGAAAAAAACGGTGGATACCCGAAGTCGTTTCACCAGATTTTCGGCTCTAAGCAACAATTTAAAACTGCATGTGGTGCTAATATTAATTTGGGAATTGTGTAAGTAGGCCTGAGGGTCCACTTGACCTGAAGTTAGAACAGCAGGAGTGAGCGAACAGACCTCTGAATGTGTGACTCGTGCTGCAAAATATGATATTAATGACTCCCTCACGACGCGTTCAATAATTACCCACTTGCTGCTTCTCCAGTCTGGGAAATCGCTCTGAACCGACTCTTCACTAGTCTGCCAGCTTTGCATCTCCATCGCCAAAGAAGCAGCTGTAGGAGCGTTTGTACGGCGTAGAGTTGGTTTGCACTGAAACATGCAAAATGAGACTCGGGGTTGTTTATCTCTACCCGACGAACAAGATACGATCTCACTGTGCGATTAATCCCGACTTGATTTAATGTTGACATCCTACTGCTTCTCAGTCGGCAGTACAGCATTAATTCCAGGTGAAGTGAGGAGGAAGAGAGGGAAAGGTGAGGCAGAGAGGAAGAAGGAGGGAGTCAAGAGGAAGTGCAACAAATAAGAGGCGTTTCCAGAGAAGCAAACCAGGTATGATTAAAGTACCGCGCCAAAACAGTTTAAGCTAACACGCTAAGTGCGGTCTACAGCAGGTTAATGAGCCATAGTCATTTTATCATAACATATCTAGGCCAGTAACAGCAGCATTCAGGCTCAGTGTCGGCCAGTTAAGTTAGTCTACATCCCAGTCCTTGGTGTGGCCTGGAATGGAATCAAACTCTTGGCTCTCGAACCGCGTTTATCCAAAGAGGACTCGTCAATCCGACCGGCACATAAATATTTATCGAACTTTTCTGTATTCCTGTCAGACACTTCACATTTCTGATGGTTTGAAATAGTCTGTTGCATCAGAACAGCTCAGCTTCCAGGCCCGGACCTCCTCGAAGATTTATTTTTTCTTGCAGAAAATTGAGCGGTGATGAGATTAGGTCTTAAACCAGCTGTAGTCGGAGCCTGCAGGTGGATGCTGGGGGGAGGTGGTGGAGGTGAAGGGATGAGCCCAGCACTTATATCAGCAGGTGTGGTACTGACAGAAAGAGAGAGAGAGAGAGAGAGAGGAGGGCGAGTTTTTACGGTTTAGACAATACGCAGTTGTGAGGATGAGATTTTCCATTTACCGTACGTATAAACAATTGCGTCATCAGCATATAGATGAATTTCAGCAGAGTGAAGGACGGAAAGGTCATCGATAAACATGGAAAAAAGGAGCGGGCCTAAGGATGAGCCTTGTGGGACTCCCATATGTTGTTTGTATGTAAACTTGTCGACTGAATTTTACAACCCTGCTTTATTTCAGAGGTTTTAGTCTCTTTTACTAAACGTGACCTGTCGTCTCGCAGCCGCAGGGTGAGTACGCCCCGAGGACGAACGCTTCGTCACGTTAAGACTTTAGCCTGAAGGAAGAACAGACAGGACAAAGCTGCCTGAGGTTCTGAGTCTGCAGGACTGAACTCTGAACCTCTGACTGCTGAATCTGGAATATAAGAGAAGTCACTTTTTATCCAGCACTCAGAACTCCGCTGGATCGCCGTCGATCCCACGTGACGCCATTATTATTGTTTATAGTTTTTTACAGTGTATCTCTACGGGATAAAAAGTGTTCAAAAGCTTACCCTTTTGTCGATCTATCGAGGGTTTCCAGACATTTCTACACCTGCCACAAGGTTTACAATCCAGCCACAAAAACAGGTGTTTGATCAGAGACGATTGATGGTAAATCCGCAGTGATATACGGTGAAAACAGGATTATTGATCAAATTGTTGTGATCGAAAAAGATCGCTATTGCTAAATGCCGCTAATGTCTTCCAGGTTTGACAAGCCAAACTTTAGACCAATTACACGGCCTCATATTCTTCTCATACCCTTAGAGGACCGGATCCTAAAGATTCATAAACTGCACTTCCTCCCTCGATCAAATAAATGCAGGTTTATTTTAATGTCTGTTTGATCAGGTCCAAGCTCTTTAACTCTCATCTTCTCCTGCAAAGATCAGGTCCAAGCTCTTTAACTCTCATCTTCTCCTGCAAAGATCAGGTCCAAGCTCTTTAACTCTCATCTTCTCCTGCAAAGATCAGGTCCAAGCTCTTTAACTCTCATCTTCTATTGTTCCCTCAATGTTTGGAAACAAGTGAAGAAGAGATTCTGAGCAGTATGATGTGGTCCTCTGTCTCATCCCAGGAGTGGCAGAAACAACTGTAAACAGTCAAAAACGCCTGGAAGAATGAGTGTAAATATGTCAATAGTTTCTGTTGTGTGTTTGTTCCAATCCCAATATTTCTTCTCCTGATAGACAAGACTTGAGAGAATGATGTGCAGGTGAGAAAAGGCTTGGTCACTGTAGATTTATGTGGTTTTGGAGCAAAGTTCTGTTGGGATCAATTTCCACAAACAGGCGAACTAAAAATAGCAAAATAAAGCTTGGAGTTCAAAGGGTTAATGTCAAAGCTGTTTCAAACTCGGGGTTGTCGAGTCAGAATATAAAACAGGCTTGAATCAAACGCACCTCTAATATATGCCGTATTTTGTGATTACAAAGGCTTCAGTAGACTACATTACAAGAATCAAAGCCTGTCAGGAAAACACACAAAAAGCAATCATGCACAAAGTCGGCAAACAGCCTGATCGTCGACGCTGCTGAATTTTTAAACACCAAGTCACGCTCGATTATCCGAATTCTGAGGAGTTCAGAAACTTAGATTAACGGTATCTTGCTGTAAATACGAGTCGAACCTCGATGAAAAGAGTGATGAGAGAGAAGAATCAGGAGGTTTATACTGCGGCTGAATTTGCATGTTTGTGTTGTTTGTATTTATATTTGTGCATAAGAAAGTACAGCTTGTCAGAAGTGATCACAGTCATGCCACCTTCCTCCCCTCCTCCTCCTCCTCCTCCTTTAATCCCCTGTTTATCCTCCGATTTATCGTCACATCTTCTCCTCCTGCCTCCCTATTTTTATCTTACGTCTCCCCGGTTGCGTCACCGAAAGATAAAAGGATGGCGGTGATAGCGACAGTAATTACGCCGCTCCTCTTTCTCTCTCCTGTCTTGCTTCATTGGACCGGTGTGATTGTGTGTGACTGTCTGAGTTGTTTGGGTGTTCGAGACCAAGACGATCATAAATTCAACAGGAGGCGACGACAAGAAAAGAAAATAGCGGAGCTGATGTCAGAGAGGGAATCTGAAGGAGCGGTTTGAGGCTTCAGCTCTGATTCAATTGTGTGGAAAAGTCGACCAATTCCAGAGTCATTTCTTCATCTGCCGAGTCAAATATGACAAACTGGAGCGAGAGAATAAGGAGAGAGAGAGACAGACCCAAGACGTGAATGATAATGAAATCATTTGCTTTAGTCTGGTGTGCGAGTTCAGACATATGTTGGAGTCATGTCACAGATTCTGTTTAAGTCTTTAGATGGATTTAACTAATTAGACTGACTGTCCTCAGGGTCAGTCAGGAGCGTAACCTCGGTCTGAAACACAGTTAGCAGACGGGGACGCTTCCTAACCGGCTCTCATCTTAACAGGAATGAGCCAGGTTTGTCGTCTGAGCGGTCAAACGCAGAGAAGGATTTACTGCAGCTGTAAACAAAATCAGGAGTGTAAATGCCGAAAATACGAACTACAGGGGCGGCTGTGGATTAGTGGAAGGATCAGAAGGATGGTTGTCTGAATTGGGTCTGTTAATTCTGCAGCTTCTGCCGTCAGTGGGCCCGTTTACATGGGTCCAAAAATCCTGTTTACAATCAGATTCAAAATGTCTCATATAAACACCTTCGCCAATCTGATTCACCCGGATCTGATTGTATTTCGGGTCAGATTGTAAAGAGGTAGTCTACGCCGATTGATAATCCGCTCCATATATACGGCTGAGTGGAGCGGATTGGGTTTACAGAGAGGCGTGTTCGGTCTGCGCAGACGCTCGGTAGTACGTAAGAGCCACGCAGTGAGGTACGCAGAGCGCGCCCGAACGAAAACAAACATGGCGAACAAACAGAAAAACTGGACGGTGGAGCGTTAAAGTGTGTCGTTTCGTTGTGTACACTTCTTGCTGTGTAACCCGGCTGGATTATACTTTTATTAAACTTCAACACATAGGGTTCCTTACTCTGCTCGGTCTGGTAACTCCGGCGGTGTCACACACAAACACGTCCATGCGCAACTCTAAAACGGAACTAAAACAATGGTTCCTATTAACAATTCCCATTGATACAATACAGCTGGATTCAGCTGGGCCCATGAAAACACGGACTGAACGTGGATCTCTTTACTTAAATTCATGTGTACAGATGGAATCAGATTCACTTAAAACTGCCCATGTAAACAGAGCCACTGTATGAATGAGGTGAGTCTTGATCCCTCAAACTAAAACTCTGCCATTATTATTATAACTTAAAGTGTCTCCACATTTGTGCGAATGACTTACATGTTAAGTCAATGTGTAGACGCGATCGGACTCTACTACTACTCTGGCAGGACAAACGATGCGAATTGGGCGGGAGCTGAAAATGTCTCAACTTGAGCGAATATTCGTGTCGCGATAACCAATCAGCTCGAAGGTTTCTTGGTTAGAAAGATGTGTAAAGAATAACACCCACGTCATCTTTCACGATGTTGCTGCAAACTCATGATTATCTTTGTTCATCTTCTCCTCAGAGCGTCAGATTTGAAGCAGCAGGATGCAGCACATGAGGACCAGACTCGGAGTGATTCGTGATTAACTCGTTTATCTCTGGAAGCGCGTTTCTCCTCCCTGCTGCTCCGAATTAAAGACCACATGAAATGATGACTTCTGTTTGTGTCTGCGAAGCTAAAACAAACTGCAGATTATTAATGATGATATTAAACATGGAAGTATTTGGGTGTAAAGATGAGATTAACGATGTTACAGGTGCAGCAGCAGCTCGACTCGTTAAAGTGATCTCATTAAAACGAGAACAAATGTGACAAATTAATCTTACACACGAACACTTTTCCTCCTTTTTCATGTGGACAGCTGGACCAGAGTGGAAAAATTAGTCCACTGTCATTAGTCAGGTTGCTTGGCAACCGATGAGACGAGGCTAATCACCCTGACAGGCCAGAGGAGGAGGCGGCGGTGAAGGCGGAGCAGCGACGGAGGAAGAAATGAGTGTGGATGTTACGGGGCAAGATGGGATCAAAGACATCCGAGTTAGTCTGAAGAGATGAAGAAACGAGGAAAAACGAGAAAAGAGGAGAAAGGAGGAGACAGGAGGCGACGCCGTCTAATTACAGAAGAGAGGATCACTGACGACTGAACTTTAAAGACCAACATTAGTGGAAATGCAAATGAAGCGGCACAAGGACACAGACTTAATGACGAGTCATGAGTTCAAGTCAAGAACGAGAAAATCAGAGCAGCTTTTTATGTGTTTTTTTCAGCCGTGTGGTCAGAGTCGTAAATATCTGAGATACTGCACAGACTGAGAACCGTTAGAAACACTCACATTTAGACGCAAACGGAGAACTGACCCCTGAAAACGATGCTTTTTAAAAACTCCAAAACTTGCATTTAAATGAAAAAACCCCAGAGATTTGGATCACCGACAGCAGATTGTGCGCCGGAAAGAAGGACGTGACGTTGTTGTTGTTGTTGCTATGTGGGATTCTGATAGGCTCACGTGGGCTTTAGCTTCTCGCTTCACTCTCACCCACATGTTTGATATGCTGTTGACAGCATTTCATATATACTCAGGTTAATGTAAACTACGAATTTTCTGAAAACGTAGTGGTGTGCACAGTTTCTTTGTAAACATAGAGGGTGAAATGTCGTGTAAATATAGTCTAAACACATGTGCAAACACAGAAACAAGAAGTAAAGTGACTTTATCATGTTTGACCTCCGTCTGTTCTTTCTTTATGAGATACACATACTGTACAGGTGCATAAATACGACACCTACACTGACTCTGCTTTTGATTGACTGCCTGAAACCGACGCAGTAAAGAGAGAATATATGACTCCGATGAAGTGAGGTAAACATTGAAGTGTGATGGTTTTATCTTAAACTTACAGAAGAGTTTGTGCAGATTCAGGATTTTTCATCTCTGTACATGAACAGAGAAACATCTGTGCAGCGATCGTCTGACAGGAAAGTTTCTCCTCTTCGTCCCTCTGATGTTCTGGTCCACAATTCCTGCAGGAACACGGTGTTGACAGAACACACTGTGCCTCATTAAACTCACGGCCCATTAGATTCTGTTTGTAATTTAATTTTCCACCGTGAGGCGCCAAAATGAACGCAATGACAATAAACCTGAGTGTAATGATGATTATATAAGTGGGCAGCAGAACAGCTGCTGTGTTTACAGGCGCTCAAATCTGACTTTCCTCCGATCTGTGGAGATGAAACTTTATCCATTAAAACAAATCAAACAGAGTCATGGAGTCGATCGTCTCAGCTGAGTGGAAATAAACGGGTCTTTGGTCAGAACAGACTTGGACAAACATGAGGAAGACAAACACACACGAGGAGAGACGATAAAGAGACACAGGTGACACACATGAGGGTCATGGAGGGAGAGGGGAACACAGCGGACCTGAAACCGGACTCAGCTGTTATCAAACATGAGGAGGATCTACGTCTCAGAGTCGTGTTCACTCTTCGCCGTCCTTTAGTCACGTCTCTATAACCTCGTTTCCTCTCTGAGTAAATCTCTTTATCGTTTCAGATCCTCTCTCTCCTCTCTCTCTCTCTCTCTCTCTTTGAACTCTTGATCCCCGACTCCATTTTTCTATCAAACTTGTTTTTTTTTTTACTCTCGTTTCCATAAATACATCAGCGTCTGTTGCTTTCTGTCCACATATCCAATTTCTCTTCATGCGGTGAGTGGTACTTTCTCAAATATGTCGTATCCACTGTTTTCCCAGCATGCCTGCATAAATCCAAATGAATAAAAACATCAAACGAGCTCTAAATAAAAAAGAAACACAAACTGAAAAATACGAACCCTTCTTCCCTCGTCTGACCTCTGACCCCTCTCTCTGCAGAAAGTAAATTACTGTTTGGATAAATTGATTTCAAACATTGATAAACAACCCACACTCAGGGAAAAGGTGTGTGTGTGTGTGTGTGTGTGTGTGTGTGTGTTCAGTAGAGCACTTTACACCTAAAAGCCTGACATGTGAAATACAACTACTAATGCACACACACGCACAACTCTTGCAGTCATAAATCTACACACACACACACACACACACACACACACACACACATAGACAGAGAGGGTTGATGTTGGAGTTAAAGGTGCAGTCTGCAATATTTTACATGAGAGTCGTGATAAAAATAGAAAATAATATTCACAATTGTGTTTAAATCAGAGCGTCTTTTTTTTGCTTTTGTAAAAGGAGCAGGTCAACTTTTGTGTGTCTACGGTGTCACAGAGTGGACAAACAAGTCATACATGAGTGGCTGTCTGTAATGCATTTGTTGGGAGTGATTCCTGTTTCCACCAACTTCCACCTTCATCCTGATCGTCTCCTAAAAGGTCGTATCCTCCGATCGTAGCTGATCGTAACCATTCAAGTTAACGTGTCAATTTACACCGACTTCTTTCCGTTCCTCTGCGGATCGCCGGACTCCTCAGCTGATCACAAGAGTTCTATTTTTTCCAGACGCCGGAGCATGGCGGATAAATTCAGCACAGATTAACCCGTGCTGGAAAGGAAGTCGGGCACAGACACAAAATAAAACATCCGGCTTCTTTTCAAAATAAAACATCCGGCTTCTTTTCAAAATAAAACACGGCGAAGACGAACAAGTGAAAGGTTTTTAGACGTCATTTCACCCCGATGACACCATGGATGAGGAGATGCTTATTCTAGAAGTCTAGAAGTAGATTTCCTCCTCTGGAAGGACACAATCTACTGCTTATATGTCTATGTGTCTGTCTTTATAGAGACAACTTCTTATTGTGCGATTGAACGTGAATCCGCGGGTTCTCGTGAGTTCTCATGATTCCTGCTGTCTGTAATCCCCCATGAAATTCGCCTCACAAACGGATCTGGTAGGAGTTGGTGGACAGCGAAAATCGCTGCCGCTTCAGATTGAAATCCCAGGTTATGTGTGAACATAGACACGTTTATCCACAGTGTGATGTATAATCTGGTGTATAGTCCAGAATCTGACTCTATTTTTCCACGCTGTATAAAACTGAACAGATCTCGTGATCATCTGTGAACAGAAGCTGGATCTGCTCATCTGAACGGATGCATCCACCATGATACCATTACGGGTTTGTTTGGAGGGAACTCAGATCATTTAGCGACCGTATCCATGACTGTCCTCATCGAGATTATTGGGCCTTCCTCATAAATTCATCCTTTTATTGGGCTGCTAAAGGCCATTTATGGAGCATCGAGCCCTGACCAATGATTTTTTTTATATCAGGTTTAACGTTCGCCTCGTTGCAGGAAGCAGGGAATGTATCTCCCTCGGCCAAAATAAGCACACGGCCTGATTCATGGTCGAGCCGCTCAGCTGGATCTGTGGTGGGACGTTTATGTTCCCTGGAAGTCTCTCTGTGCGCTCGGAGGTTTATTCTGGGGAAGTGTCTCTGAAATGAGGGGGTATCTTCATGCTTTAGAAATGTTAAATCACAGTTAAATAACAAAAGTACCGTCATAAAAATCTTTTAAACTTCGTCACACAGACACACACACACCGCAGGGTCAGTGTATTATGTGTCTGTGAAAGTGGCGCCCATCCATCAGCTGTTGTCGACAAGGCTTTTAAGACTGACACCCTCATCTTTCACCTCCAACACATGAAACCCGTATTTCACTCTTTCACGTCCGTCTCTCCTTCAGAAACGTCGGGTGATAAATTCGCGCTGCTCTTTGGTCACCGAGGGGCCGACGCGAACGCACTCTTGGAGTAACCAATCAAATTAAGGCCAAACCTTCGGTCAGGGTGTCTGTGAGTTCCGGTTTTCCTCCCACACTCCGAACACATTCAGGTTAGACGATGTGGAAAAATTAAAACCGCTCTGAGTGTGAGTGGGTGGGTTTGCTGCTGTGGACTCTGCGGCTCGTTCGACCCTCAGCAGATTAGGTGGGGATGTGAAATGAATGGGTAGTAAAATGGATGGATGGTAATAATGTCATAAAATGAAATGTTTTGTGAAATGAGTTTTTGACGGTATTTTGAATCCTCTTTCTCTCCTTGTAATTTCCTTCCTAATTCTCACTGTGTACCGAGGAGACGAGGCCGTTTTTCAGTTTTGTTGATAAAAAAACAAAGTGGAACAAAGTCCAGTTGAAAAAGTGGTCAAATATTTTCTGAAGATCTAAAACAAAGCTGAAAACGATTGTATTGTCGGCATAGAAGTGAAGCGCAGAGTTTGAGACTGTTTGTCCAAATCAATTTATTTAGATAAAGTATAGAGGACCCAGAAGTGAACCTTGTGGCATCCCACTGTGGAGCTGTAGTACGTTTGCGGTACTTTGAAGTAAGGCTGTTGTAGTAATTTATCATCAATAAACTAAATACTCTAGTTTATAGAGGTGGTCCTTTGTACTGGTTTCTGTGGACTGGGTTGACTCAGCTCTTTAAAGGGATATTCCTGCGTAAAATTAAGTTAAGGTCAAACACATTGTAACGCCGAGTTAGACTGTTGCCGACCGCTTGCTTCTCTAGTTAAACCAACTTTAGTAACTACTGCAGGACAGCGATACCAAAACGCCACTCTATAGCCACAAATAATGCTCAGAACAGCACCTAACTTCATCAACAGGACAAATAGGGTCACAGTTCCAGTTGTTCCTGTTCTCCTGAAGTCTTGTCTTGAGTTTTCAGTTTGTGTCTGACCCCGGTTCCCTCGTGTTCTCAGTGTTTTATTCCTTATCTCAGTGCTTCCTGTTTTATTTTGTAGTAGTTTATTCCCTGTGTTTCTAGTCTTGTTTCACTTCCTCAGTTTTCCCTCCTCTGTGATTGTCCTCACCTGTGTCTCGGTGTCTCACCTGCCTCTCGTTGCTCGTTTCCCAGTGTGTCTTGAGTGTCTTCTTTTGGTTTTTGCCCTTTTTGGATTTTTAGGTCTTTTGGGTTTCGCCTTGAATATTTCTGTTGGACATTTAAAGTTCGTTTTTGTTAACTTTTATTGCAGAACAACCACTTCTGTTCTGCAGTTGGGTCCTTTTCCTGTTTGTTTGACACTTTTCTTGCCTTTTCATAATTTTACTTACTGTGTTGTTGTAAGTTCAAACTTTTCCATCATTATCACTGATAGTATTTTTATTGTAATACTTCTTTGGCTACTATAATCCAAGGCAAACTTCTTAATACTCTCCACTTCAACTAAAATTCATCCTGTTTTGCAGCAGCTCGAAAAGGAAACCCATCTAATCCGGTAACATGTGTCGTTATTGATCAAAATGTCATTTACTCACTGTTGCCCAGTCAAAGTGCTGTTGCAAAGGAACAATCACATCGATTCTTATCATGTCTTGTGGTTTATATCGATTATTATGACTCCACTTTGCAGGAAGTATTCGCTCCACATTATGGCGCCTTATAAATGTCACTGAAAGCAAATGTCACGTCCATTTAGCATCTGTCATCTCTGTCTGCCAGAACAGGCTTCATGAACTCGGCTTCCCGTCAAAACACATTTCAGTATTTGGTTATACTTCCAGATGAAAGCAGCAGTTTGTCTTTATCTTATATAGAATAAAGATAACAGGTTTATTTTAGATTTAGTGAGTCAGTAAGGATCTGCAGCTGTCATACAGTTGGACATAAAGCAGCTAAAGGTTAGTATGAGGGAAGTCAGCCTCTGTTCAGAGCAGTCAGCACGCGTGTGGTCATAGAGCTGCTTCAAATTAAGATCGTTAAGATATCGCCACTGTATTTGAAACATACAGGCGGGGCTTATCATACGACACATGCTCATTCATAACTTCTCATGTTTATTTTCTGTGGCTGTCAAATCTATGAAACAAGGACCAAAAAAAAAAAAGAAAAGAAAAATACATTACAGGAAGGAGAAATTTTAAGATTAAAGTCGAAATTTTAAAAAGTCGATATTTCCACTTTATTCATGTCAACTTTAATTTCGACTTGAATCTCAAAATTTGGATTTTTTAATGTTGAAATTTCGACTTTATTGACATAAATTTGATGTTTTTAATCTCGAAATCTTGACTTTATTCTCATTTTATTTTTTTAGTGTCAAAATTTCAACATTTTCTGACATTTAAACATTTTGTAATCTCAAAATTTTAATTGTACTCTTGAAATTTCAATTTTTAATCTCAAATTTCGACTTTCTTGCCAAATTTAGATTTTTAAAATTTCGAAATATTGACTTTAATCTCAAAATTTCAACTTTAATCTGGAAATTTTAATTTTTCTGATGTCAAAATTTCAATTTTATTGATGTAATTGATTTTTTGATCTTAAAATTTTGACCTTATTGATATAATTTAGATTTTTATACCTCAATATTATAACTTTAATCATGAAATTTCAACTTAAATCTTGAAATTTTCATTTCTTTAATGTAAAAATTTTGAATTCTTATGACACTGACATTTTGTAATCTTGAAATTTTGACTTTATTGACATAATTTCAATTTTTGTAATCTGAAATCTTGACTTTAATCCAGAGATTCTAATTTTAATCTTGAAATTTCGACTTCATTGACATAATTTAGATTTTTTACAATCTCAAAATTTCGACTTTATTTTCCTTTCTGTAATTTTTTTTCTCTTCTTGTGGCCCTTATCCTCTTTTGTACAAATCAGCTGTTCTGATCAGTCAATTAAATATTTAAAAATCTCCTTTTTTGTTGTAGCTGTCTTGAAGTAGAAAAAAATGATTACAACAACAACATGTACTCTTTAGTGTGTAGAAATACTTGGATGATGGAGAGAACAGAGTCTGGCAGGTAACAGGTGTGCGGTGAAAAAAACGAACACCTGAAGGCTGAGGTGTTATGAGAGAAATGGTGTAAATCTCGACTATTGCGCTGAGATGATGGATCAAAATGTGTCTGACCCACGGCTCACCATCAGAGAGAGGAGAAAAGTGTGAAGATGAGGGTTACGGAGGGTGAAGGTGTTTACTGTACCGCAAGATTGTGAAATATTGGGACTGAGAGCTCTCCTCGAGAATCTGGATCAAAGTGATGATTTTCTTCCAACCGTCTAATCCACTCAAGTGGAGCAGAGGAGACCGAGATTGAAGGGAAGCGGTTCCAAGAAGGATTTATAAAAAAAATAACCCAACGGCCATTTAGCCGAGAGAAAAGGGAAAAAAACTATCATGAGATAAAAGGAAAGTGATAGTAAATGGTTCAATATCCGTCCTTGAGAGAGTTTCTATATCATATTTCAAAACAGGGAAGCTGTCGGTGTCGTAGAGTTTATGGTTTCCATCAGAAGACATACAGTTATAATCCTTAAAGGGGAATTCAGTTTTAGGTCTGAACATGATCTTCACAAACACAAACAGGAGCCTATGGAAGTCCACGTCTAAGTGATGGAGCTCCCTGACCAGTATCCAGCTAAAACAGGGGTGCGCAATCATGTGCCATGGAGGCCCGAGAGGCTTCAGGTTTCTTTCCAACCACAAACTCCACAAGGTGATCTCACTGATAACCTCCAAGCAGAGAGCAGGGACTAATCAGTGAAATCACCTGGTGGAGTTTGGGGTTGGAAAGAAAACCTGCAGCCCCTCGGCCCTCCATGGCACATGATTGCCCACCCCTAAGCTAAAAGAAACCTCCAGCACCAGACTAGAGCTGCAGACTTTGGTCCAAACTTAGACTTGAAATGACGACCCTTTTGTCCCTTTAGGAGCACAGATCTGCAGACCTGAGAGCTGCGGGTTCAGGACTACATTCCTGCAACTAAAGCTCTAAGACCATCGTGCACCAGAAGACAAAAGACCACAGTTTGAAGTCTAATCATATTAAATCTAACCCCCAATTTCCACCGCATCCAGAACGGCATCTAAAAACCTTTCACTTGTTCGTCTCCGCCCGTTTGCATGTTGTGAAATACGATCCTCCTGAAACACAGAGTGTTTTATTTTGAAAAGAAGCTGGATGTTTTATTTTGTGTCTGTGCCCGACTTCCTTTCCAGCACGGGTTAATCTGTGCTGAATTTATCCGCCATCTGGGAAAACAAAGAACTCTTGCGATCAGCCGTGCAGTCTGGCGATCCGCAGAGGAACGGAAAGAAGTCGGTGGAAATTGACACGTTAACTTGGATGGTTACGATCAGCTACGATCGGAGGATATGGCCTCTTTGTAGCCGTTTTGGATGCGGTGGAAATGTGGGGTTAAGCCAGTTTCCGTCCCACTGAAGCGTCTGTACATGCTAAAGAAAATCACCGAACCACATAATCGAGATATGTCCGTCTGACAATGTTAAGTTTAATTTTGTTAAATTTCAGTCTGACTGATTTGGATTCTGAACTGATGCTGCACAGGTGACGTGAAAAGTCTGAGTTTCAGGGTCATTGAACCTCAAGTTGAACCGCGGTTTGACTCTGATGAGCCGTTTTAGCTGGAGCTGCTTTTAGAAAAGAGTTTTTTTAACTCCTGCTTTGTGCTGTGAGCAAAGTTAATGACCAGCTGCTGAAAATAGTGTAGCATTTAGCATCCAAAGGGTTTGATATTTCCCTCTGGAGCTGAATGGAGGGGGGAAAAAGAGCGATTAGCGGTCCTCAACCATCTGGTGACCAGAGAGTGCTGCTGATGAGTTAATAAGCTGCTGTTTGCTAACACGCTCACCAGACCGGGTGATAATACATCAGCAGGGCTGTCATCATGAGTTGGCAGAGTCTCAGCGTTCATATTCATCCTTTAGACGGCTGTTATTTCCTTTAATATCAGATTTATTCTCCCAGATTTAAAGAATAATTTCATCACCAAATGTGAGCCGGCGCAGCAGCAGGAGCTGAAATATCCCCGATTTTAATCCCTCAGTGAGAACAAACTCCAAATGTCGCTCTGCGTGTGGTCAAAGTCAAAGAGCGTTAAAACAGCTGCAGCTTCCTTTCACTGAAGACTCACTGTCACTTTGGATTTCATCGCCAACGTCACGCCTGTTTCTGCGACACTGAAGGGAGGAAAATGTGACGCAAAGCTGCTGGTTTTGGGCGTCTCATGAGGGATTAGAAACTTTTTAGACGTGTTTTAATATGAGGAGCCGAGTTCATTCACGGGGAAGTCAGGCGGACCGCCGGGGGGGACACTTTGACTCCTCGTGCACAAATTGAAAAATGTTCACAACTCCCTCTGCGGCGTGTTTGAGAGGAACCTGTCCGACGTATCAATGCTGGATTTCCTGCACAGTCAGAGGGTGTTAGACTGTGAGTGAAAGACAGAAAAAGAAAAGAAAGGACATCTGCCAGACAGTCCGTGTAACTCTGTTTCTTTTTCTCTGACTTTTTGCTGTTTTCATGAAAAGTTTTCATTTTTTCTCCCTCAGTTCCTCTTTGGAGAAATAGAAGAAAGGCCTCGTTCAGTGTCTGTCTGATCTGAATCTCTGCAGACGTTTCCAACTTTCAGAGAAAAGTTGGAGGAAGTTTTTACGACTTCAATAAAATCTTTTTTCTTGAACAAATCAAACGTGCCCTTTAATAACCTTTTCACCCCAGAGAGAGAGGAGCCAGGACAGAACCCTGAAGCTGCAGTCTGAGGAGGACAAATCTGGGATAGCATGGAGAGGACCCTTGTGTGTTTGCAACACTTACCTCCAGTTTCCACCACTTCCGGAACAGCTACGAAAAGGTCATATCCGCCAATAACAGCTGATCGTAATCATTCAAGTCAACGTGTGAATTTCCACCGACTTCTTTCCGTTCCTCTGCGGATCACCGGACTCCTCAGCTGATCATAAGAGTGCCATTGGTTCCGGACGCCGGAGCATGGCGGATAAATTCAGCACAGATTAACCCGTGCTGGAAAGGAAGTCGGGCACAGACACAAAATAAAACATTCTCCTTCTTTTCAAAATAAAACACTCCGTGTTTCAGGAAACCATGTTAGCTTCTTGCAGACACATTTGCCAATCGTTTTGTTCAGTTGTTATGTAATCGGTCAGAAGGGAGATGGTTAAGAGGGAAAAGAGACTTTCTTCAGTCATTTAATCGACTCTTGCTCAGCGCTGGTGAACCGGGACAAGTTTGTCAGCACTTAGAATTCATTTATGCATTAATTAGGATTTTCTGTAACACGATTTATTTGTGTTACAGAATACCTCACAACTGTCTACATATGATATGTGATGATAAAGTACTTTGGATGCAAACTGAGGAGCTGAAACAGCAGCGAGGAGTGGGAAAAATCGCTCCCACTAGAGAAGGACACCAGAAAGCAACAGATAGAAAGATAGCTCCAGCCTCGCAGCTCAGACCCACTGAGGGAGGGGGGGGGGGGGAAATCTTGTCGTGACGTGAGCCGAGGGTGAGAGAGAGAGAGAGAGAGAGAGAGAGAGAGAGAGAGCAGCGGTTTCCCACAGAGCTAAGACTGGGAAGGAGAGGAGGTCCCACTGGGAGCGCAGAGGAGGGAAGAGCCGTCAGTTTAATAAGCGAGTTTACGGGAATAAACAGATTAATATTTACTCCGAATGATCTTACAGTAAGTTCTCTTCTGTTTTACTCCCACAGTGGATCGTGATGATGAAGAGAAGAAGGAGCGATTTTGTTTTCACTCTGGATGTTTTACGCACGCTGCACACCTGCTCTTAAACCTTTTCCTCGATCTTGTTTTTACTCCTTTATTTGACTCATAGAAGTGTTTTCATTCACTTTGACGAAGTGATTCACGATAGTGGGCTGAGATCTGTCGCCCTGTAGTGTTTTATTTGCTGCGCGTAATCATAAATCCTAAAATCGAAGCTTGTGTTTGATCAGTGCCAGGCTTGTTCAGTCCAGGATGCACCTGTCGTCCTTTGACCTACTTTCTTTCCCTCTCTCTCTCTCTCTCTCTCAAGTGCTGCCTAAAAAGCGAGCAAGGCAACTAACTGAGGTTCACGTCTCTTCTGTTGTCCAGGTTTCGGGCTGCGCCGCTCATGCGTAAAGACCTTCCTGGCACCCTCTCCAGAGCGCACAGGAGACACACCGCTTTCCCATAAATAACCATCGTAAACTCCAATCATGGACACGTCCAGCCTTTAAAAAGCCACTTCAGGACGGAAGCACTTGGAGAGGAGAGGAGCAGAGGAGGAGGAAGGAGGACAGGACGGGATTTTTGCGCCGATTAAAGGGAAGGAAAAGTAGAGGACCGAGCCGAGAAGGAAATAAACGAAGTGTGTTTTATCTTCACGGAACTTTGAGCAGAGAATAAACCCTGAGAGAGGAGAAACAGTGGATGTAGGAGGCATGAAATCGAGGATAACAAACAGCGTCGCTGAGGTTCTCTGTGGAGAAAGTTCTCTCTCAGGATTATCGCTTTGAATTCATTTTTTCTCTGTAATCCTGCGCAGTGAAGTGGGAGGTAAGAGTGCGTGGAAACTGTTTGGAACAGCATGAACTCTGACCTTTAATTCATCTGTTAACTTTTTACACCTCAAGGTTGCAAAATGACTCTCTTTCACCACGATCCAGTGTAACCTTTGGTCTAAAATGACTGGCTCCCTTTCTGGCTCTCTAAGAATGTACTCGGAATATTTGAGATTAAACACACAGTTGAATAAGGTTCCTACAAAGTAAAGGAGATTTGTCAGTAGAGATAGACTTCACAGATTTATTCAGAAACTTTCCACAAACATGGAGAACGTGTCCTTCACCGGTGGGGTCCTGCCTGTCTGTAATGACTCTGTGGACTTCTACTCCCTCACGTCGGGGAATCTCACCGACGTGAACTGCACTCCTCCCCCTGATTTTTCTTTCTACGCTGACCTTTACGTCATCCTGCCGGTCATCTACACGGTCATCTGTGCCGTAGGTCTGACTGGGAACACGGCGGTCATCTACGTGATCCTCAAAGCTCCAAAGATGAAAACCGTCACCAACATGTTCATCCTCAACCTGGCCATCGCCGATGATCTCTTCACCTTGGTTCTGCCCATCAACATAGCGGAACACCTGCTGCACTACTGGCCTTTCGGGGAGGTTTTGTGCAAAGTCATCCTCAGCATAGATCACTACAACATCTTCTCCAGCATCTACTTCCTCACGGTTATGAGCATCGACCGTTACCTGGTTGTTTTGGCGACCGTGAGGTCAAAGCGTATGCCCTACCGCACCTACAGAGCGGCCAAAATCATCTCATTGTGCGTCTGGATCCTCGTCATCCTCATTGTCATGCCGTTTACTGTCTTCGCCAGCGTCTATGTCAACCCGAACGATGAGAGGAAGAGCTGCGTGCTCAGCTTCCCAACCCCTGAGAGTCTATGGTTCAAAGCGAGCCGGATCTACACCCTCATCCTGGGCTTCGCCATCCCGGTCTCCACCATCTGCATCCTGTACACCATGATGCTCTACAAGCTGAGGAACATGCGGCTCAACAGCAACGCCAAAGCGCTGGACAAGGCCAAGAAGAAGGTCACCATCATGGTGTTCATCGTCTTGGCGGTTTGCTTGTTCTGCTGGACGCCGTTTCATCTCAGCACCATCGTGGCCCTGACCACGGACCTGCCGACCACGCCGCTGCTCATCGGGATCTCCTACTTCATAACCAGCTTGAGCTACGCCAACTCCTGCCTCAACCCGTTCCTGTACGCCTTCCTGGACGACAGCTTCAGGAAGGCCTTCAAGAAGATGCTGGAGTGCAGACCTGCCTGAATGTTCAGCTGGAGGACGAACTGTCGCAGGGACGAGACACAGAAACACCGAACTGGTTTGATTTGTTGAAGCTGCACGAGGCAACTTTGCACACGGCACATAAGGAAGTCCTGTTTTTGTTGTTTTTACCTGTCTGTGGTTCATTTCAAACATGTAGACTTATGCCTGTAAATTGCACACAACCTGTAAAATAGAGAAATGCTTTATACTGCGGAAAACCAAAGTGACCGGAGAGGGAGAATAAATGAAACTCCAGCTTTATTAAGATGTAGATTCAGTTAATGAAGCAAAACGAGGAGGATGAATCTCTCCTTAGCAATAGACAACGACTGAATCCAAATGTCCACTGCCTGGAGTCAATCTTTGTTTAGACTCAGATCAGATTTACTGACGTGTGTTTGACTTCGTTTGCTAATTAGGACTGTCACAATATTCCATTTTAACCCCAGAGTTTCCATAGCAACCGAAATTCCTGATCATTTCATTATTGTGATATTTATGGAAAACAAACTAACAAAAGTGGATTAATGCTGCGTTCCAGTTACCTCAGAGGTCGAGTGTCAGATGTCGGAATAACAACCGAGTTACCAGTTGGAAAAGTCGGAAAATCAAGATGGATGCCTACAGTTACCTGTTGTTACCTGTTGTTAGCCGTTGTCAGTTGTTGTTAGTTGTTGTTAGCTATACCAGTCGTAAACAACACATAACACAGTATTTTACTTTGACAAACACCGTAGCTCCGTGTTCACAGTTAGACGTTGGGCAGTACAACATAAACCACTTATTTAATTTCACAAAAACAAAACAGAAGCGCTAATAAATAAAACATTACGAGAGTTTTCACTGTTACTCTTTACTGTCGATGCACTGCGCTGCCATCTTGGATTATGACGTCGTCAACTCGGGGTTGGTGAGGATCGTCCGACTTTCCAAGCTGGAAACCCGACTTCAGGGGGGCGTTCCAGATGAATTTCTGACTCGGACCTTGGAAATTCCGACTTCTGAGTACAACTGAAATGCAGCACCACTAGTCCAATAGTCCTCCAAATTTATGAGAAATTTGAGCTTTTATTTGGAAATTTTACAAACACCACTTCCTGTAGATCATAATCCATGTAAGTGAATCAAAACAGCGAAAAGAAGAGTTTAAAAGTAGAAATTTTCAGAGGCGTACGTCGTTATTTACCATCTTATCACACAGCAGCTACAGCTAGCTTGCTAACGGTTTTATCGCTTCGTTTTCATTTCCCTCCATATTAAGATGGTGGCTGCCAGCATAAAGACCCACTACCACCATTTTCATTACAGTGCAATTATTTTCTGCGCCTGTCATATCTGTCACTGTTAATTATAAGTAAAGTTAGCTCAGTCTGCACCCCCAATTAGCCCCTGAATCTGGTCCCTCGTGGACTGTTTTGGACAGACCTCTCTGCAGGCCCGGTGGTTCCTCGACATTTGGATTCAGTCGGTCTGTAACCTTATTATCCGTCAGCAGACTTACAGGATTTGCCTAGTGCAGCTTTTTACAGCTCAGAGCACACTACAGGTGTCGAAAGTTGACAGGAGAGGGCGATGCCGGTCGCAGGAGGGGGGGAGGGATCGACAGTGACAATAACGGCGTGTGTGTCTGATGAACTGTCCATGCAGTCCCCAAGGATTTCCAGGTCGCTGTCTCTTTTCATTATGGGGAGAAAATGTCCAATTACGAGGCAGCGAGCCGAGGAAGATCAGTGCCGGCACGTCGTGACCTTCTCTGGACTCCGAACTCTAGAGGACCGAGGGCCTCAGAGGGGCCGAACATCTGCTGCGAGGAGAAAATACAATCCGGTGTGTTTTCTCTGATTTGCATGCTGTCAATCATGAGAACAGGCGGCGTAACGGGATGCACGTCTGGGGATTACAGGTGATTGATTCTGATTGAACAGTCATTGTCATCCATCACAGAAACTGGACCTTAATGTATGCAAACTCTAAATCTGCCTTTTACTGATGCTGTCATTCACGCAGAGTCATCTCGAAGGAACCAAAAGAAAAGTTTCATGGTAGCCTGAGACTTTTAGACTTCTTTTAAAATCACATTTAATTCAAATTAAAAACAGATCATTTGCAAAATATACTGAACAATAAAAAGGTTTGAACCCGGGTCAATAAGGAACCTAACTAACCCTGACAGCAGTACTGTAGGCCTGCTGTAGACAGACAGGCATGGGACAGGAGGGCTATGTACAAAGACTCTGTGTTCGTCTTCATGTCTTTAATTTGTGAGGTTATGTCGCCCCCTTTTGAAAAAAGAGCGGGGTTACCTGAGAGTGCAGCCGGAGCCGTTTACAGACCGCAGAGACACGACTGTGTGGATGTAAGTGACATGAGATTTAATAAAGATGAACATTTTCACCTTTTAGGTCTTTTAAGGAAAAGCAGTTGAGAAGAATTTTAAGAGTTTGGGACCAATCTGAATAATAAGGGACAAAGAAAATTAAGAAGATGAATGGTTTTAAAAAGAGACTTTATTGGTGCTTTTTAAATGTCTGGTGTCTCCAAACATATTTACTCAAAATCTCATTCATATATTTTTCTTTCTTTCAGGTAAGAAGTTTGAGAAGTGAAAAGGCGAGGGGAATCTTAAGTGTTTTTCTTACTTTTTGTGTCATTAATCTGCTTTTTATACTTAAGTTTAGTTAATTTGTTCAATTTAATAATTTTCTGAACACAAATCCCTCTGAATGAACCCCTAAACATCCTTTACTGTTTATTTAAACCGACTTTATAATGAGTTTAAGTTTTATTAATGAGACCTAAATCAATTTATCTGAGATGGGAAACTTTAAATGAATTAAAAAGACTTTTTTTTCTTCAAATTTTCCAGTCACAATGATTAAAAGCATGACTGTATTCCTGAATTACTCATACTGGCGCATTTAACCCCATGTGGCTGAACTGAGTATTACAGATAACTACTTATTAAGGCCTTTTTTGTTATCTTTTTACACATAGAAACTTGTAAAAATGAAAAGTTTAAGCTAATTTGTCCCCCGCCCCTGCAAAACTGGATTCTTACAATTAGGCTAAAACGATTCGACACACCGGCTGGATAGTTTTAAAACTTCTGCCGATAAATCGAACTTTTTTCTCACTTTTAAACTTAATGAACCGTTGAAAGTAATCTCTAAATTTTTCTCCGATATTTCTGTCAACTCGTAACGTCTCTGAAGTTTCAGTAAAAGACTAAAAGAAACTATGAAATGTGAAAAATCAGACTCTAACTTCACAGACTGTAACTATCAGTTTTTAATAGAAACACACGTCCGTCTGGTCTGTCCGGCTCTGTCTGCGTCGACGGAAGCAGCTCTGTATGTTCTGTTGTAAATGATCGTCTTCTTTTTCTGTACAGAGGAATGTAAAGAGTCACAGAAGTGTAAAGTCTTTACGGTTCAATTTTGTGTCACGATGATGAGAAATCACAAAGATAATCGAAGAGATGACCGATTTTCTTTCTGCAGCTTGTGAGAATCATGAAATGGTTTGTGCTTATAAGAATACGTCATGTCCGTCCATACCTGCTGCTGCTGATGATGATGAATTAATAAATATACACTTATTTTCCCACCAGTATTCGATTATTTAAGGTCATGATGTGCTTATGAGTGGACTGTGTCAGAGTCAGGGTCAGCGGAGAGATTGTTCACACGGACGACCACAGCGGTCATCAGCTGGATGGATCTGAGCTCCTCGTCAGGTAAAGGTCACAGATTCAATCTGGACAGTGATGCATGGCCGAGATGGAGCAGTGGAGACGCACGCTGCTCAAAGCAATGAATAATGGTCTATAATCAATACAACAGCTGCTCTAATCAATATGATCATATTTAGAATGGAATGAGATCATCAAGGAAACATGAGCTGCAGGAAGTTTTAAGTTTTTATTTTTGAATTCTAAGTTTGATAGTTTTCTCATCTGAAATTTGGTGCTTTTATCCACCGCATAACAATTTGGCCATTTTTTCAAGTTAACAGACCCTACTATGAGGCGGTGTGTTCGAGCCTTTTTCGGGACAAGGTGAATTTTGAAGTCTAGTGTCTAGACAGGGTTCTGTCTCCAAGTGGCTCAGCGGATAAGAACACTGACTGGTACTCCTGAGATCGTGGGTTCAAGTCTTACCCTGTCCAGTTCTAGGAGAATTTTAAAGTCTCGAGTCCACAAAGGACAGCGATATGTGAAAAAAGAACCCGATTCTCTTGTATGTCCAAGTGGCTCAGGGGATAAGAACACTGACTGTGAATCCTGAGGTCGTGGGTTCGAGTCCCACCTTGCCCACTTCTTGGTGAATTTTGAAGGTCTAGAGTCTACAAAGTACAGTGATATATGAAAAAATACATGATTATCTCGTGTGTACACATGAGTCCCCCTTATTGGGGACGCCCTCTGCTCAGCCTCCGGCCATCCGCCGCCCCCCCTATAATCCCCCCATCGAGCCTTCTCCCCATCCTTACTCTAAAGCTCAGCCTGCTCTGACTTCCTGTTGCATAACCCAGGGGGTAACCGGGGGGTTTGAACCCATGACCTCAGGAGTCCCAGTCCATGTTCTTATCCTGTGAGCCATGTGGACACACAAGCCACATGGCCTACTATAAGGATATAGAGGTATAAGTTTGTCCACAAAGGGGTGCCAAACTCCAGACAGAGGCTTTAAAGAAATTATTGCTAACTCAATTCTGGAGTAAAATCACTTTATCCCTTTAGTACATTCATAGTACTTCTCAGTTAATAATAATAATAATAATAATAATAATAATGAAGAAACCAAAAGCACAAATAATCAAAAAGATTAGGGAGTTAACATCAGCAGCTTTTTTCTTAAAATAAAAACAAACACAAGCTCCAACTTTCAATTGCAATTTATTTCAAGTGACGCTAAAGTTAAAATCTATGTTTAAAAAACTTATAAACACTCCATTTATATCCCAAACACACACAATACCTATAGCCACCCAAACTCTGCAGATACAGTAAATCCTTCTTCAGTAGCCGCTTAGTTAACACTTGATCAAACAGTACGAGGACCTGTTAGAGTATAACACAGCTGCAGGTTGTCTGAAGGCCTGTGCCAACCCTTGATGTGCATAATATTCAGGCCTGTGGTATTAATAACAACTCTGATGGTTTTTTTAATGTGCAGCTTAACAGTCGAGTAACATCTGGTCCTTTGCATGTTAATAAAATACACTCAATGAATGGAACGAAAGCACTTTTCAATGTGATTCAAATGGGACACAGGAAGGGTACATAACGGCGCAAAATGGCACAAAACGGCAGTGCACTCAGCTAAGCGCCGTTAAGCGCGCTTATCCGGATGCGGTCTCTGAAATGACCCACAGCCTGAGTGCCAATCAGACTCACCTGGTGCTGAGACTTTAAAGACGCAGAGCAGGACTGCTGTCCTGCTGCCTCTCATTTGTGTTGTGGGTTCTTTGTGTTTAGTTAATTTGTTCTTTTGTCAAAAACAATCACTTGATGAACTTTTTATTTAGGTATTTTGTTAATTCATCCTGTCGAAAGGTGAGGATAGCTGTTGGCCCTGTAGGGCCGCCTTCGGGTGGAGCGTAACACCGGTGGTGAACAAAAACTTAAATAGACTGAGTTTCTGACCTCTAAATAAAAAGCTGAGACAGTTTGTTTCATGATACTGATGTCCTTATATCAAAAATATGAAACAAAAGTTACAAAAAAATAAGAAAAAATGCACAAAAAGAACAAAAAGTAAATAGTTATATCAGCAAAATGGAATAAGAAGTACAAACTCATGAATCCTATCTCTTAATTGGCTCATCAATCAAAAACTGTCTCTTATTTACCAGCATATTTATCCTCACCCTAAGTAAAACCACATAATTTAATGCCAGAGGGTTAAATATTCATTAAATACGACTATAAACAAGTTTGTTTACTCATTAACATGAATAAAAACAAGCTTGACTGTAAACCAGCAGAGCGCTTCAGAGATATTTCAGGTCTAACACTGAACAAAAAAGATACAACAGCTCCCCCCAGTGGTCAGTCTGCATAAAAAGTTTAAACCCCTCATTTCTGTGTTTGTAATGAGGCCTCATAGTCACTAGAGGGCAGTGTTGGTCCATCCTGACCTCCACACTCCATGAGAGAAGAGTGTGTGTGTGTCTGTGTGTGGATGTTCCCCTACAGTTTCATTCATTGTGTGTAACACTGAGACAGGACACACACACACACACACATACACACACACACACACACACACACACACACACACACACACACACACACACACACACACACACACACACACACACAGAGTCAAACAAATGGTCGCCTCCCTTCTCGTCTCGAGACAGACTGGACTTCAAGAGGGAAACGAGCGAATCAGGTTGACTGTACAAACACTCGTGTCTTCAGATGCTTTAATCACATCGAACCTGAATTATGAACCACGAGAGACAGAGAAACCAGATCCATCTTGGAGTCCAACCAAGAGGTTTCTGTGCCCCACCAGGACCAAATATTCAACTTGTTGCCTGATTCTGTCTCTAAAATCTTCTAATTCAGATCCATTTCTTTTCTTGTTGACATCCAGAACTGATCCAACATGGAGGATTCAAGATTCATTAACAGATTTCTGAGGTGGTTACGGCCCCCCAGTGAAAGTCCTAAACCCTGATCGGCTGTTTGCATTGCAGAAGGGGGGCGGCCTTCACTGAAATCAAATACTTCTGGTTGTGTTTAAATCACCTGTGCGTGGCTTTGAAGGGATATTTAAGTGATGGCAAACACACCGTAACACCGAGGGTTGTAGTCACTAGCAATCTCTCTGTTGTCCTCAGACGAGCTTCCATCGGAGTCTCCAATCCTCCCGGTTCTCCAAACACCTGGCCAGCTCCGAAGAGCTTTCAGCTTCCGCATCCTTCTTCAGGACGTCCACATATGTTAGCGCTGAACGTCCTCGCGAACGGCCCCCGTGTGTTGGTTCTCATAGGACCATCCTGCTGGCAGGGAGCTCCTGATGTCCATGGCAGTGGACGGCCAGCCTCATCCTCCTCGACACTACCTTCTTGCTGAGCCTCGGCAGTTGCCCATACAGGTCCTTGTTGGTAATGTGGATGTTCCGGTCCACGTTCAGAACAGCTCGTACCATTCTGGTGTAGCACCCATCCAGGGACTTCTGCAGGGTGGGCGTCAGGGTCCAGCTTTCGCAGCCATACAGGAGGAAGGGCTCCACAGTGGTGTGGAATAGGTTTAGCTTTATGTGTCTGGAGAGTTGCGAGTACTACACTCTTGACGTACCGTTCAGGGCTCTCCGCGCTAGTGCCTTCCTGACCTTAAGGTCCTGTTCTGTGGAGTTCACCCAGGAACCCAAGTATTTGAAGTCACTGACCTCTCGCAGAGTGTTGATCGGCGGATGGTTCATGTGGGAGTTATAGGTAATTACCTCAGTCTCCTTCACATTCAGTCTGAGGCCAACCTTAGCACATTTCACCTCCACTCTGTTCAGTAGTTCCTGCTCCTGCTCCACGCAGTCAGACATCAGGCAGATGTCATCTGCGTAGTCCAGGTCTGCCAGGGCTACAGCAGGGCTTCTTCTAGACTTCCTCGGTGTAATTGTGAAGTTAAGCTCCTGCTCCCGCCCGTTGAAGGCTTTCCTGAGCGCGTAGTCTCGAGCTATGATAAAGAGGAAGGGAGCAAGACTGTCTACCTGCTGCACCCCTGCTAGGATTTCAAACTCCTCGCTGATGCCATCTGAGGTTACCACCTTGGTTCTTGTGCCCTTGTACATGGCCTCTATGGCCCGGAGTAGATTTGGCCTCAGGTGGTCCTTCCCTTTCCGAAGCCATTTTGGTTGTCCCTAAGGTGTGGGTCAATGGTGTCTCTAAACCGGTTTAGTATCATGCAATCCGACACGGTGAATTCTTTTTGAAGCTAGCGTAGGATCTTCTGCTGGCTGGCTTCTTGCTCTGCCAGAAGGGGTGTGTTGTGGGGAGGGCGATACAGGTTCGGAGGAGAGTTATCGTGGAGAACAGAGGGGAGAGGTTTGTGTAAGGGGGGGGTGGGACGCTTTTTCATCAACCATGCCTTTAAATTGCAGCACTGGAAAGAGATAATGGTTTTGTGATGACATTAAAACAGTATTGATGCTGCACAGAAAACAGGTGTTAAAAATGCTGTCAGTGGACACAGGCCCTTAGACTTTCAATGGCTGAGAGAATGTTGCTCATTGATGATACCTTGAGTTTGCAAAGAACATGTTTGCCAAACAGTAGTATCTCACCAGATTAAGAAAACCAAAGTATGTTGAAACCAAGACAATAAAGACAGTGTAAACTCCAAGCGTCTAATCTGGTTTTAATCTGGTTTTAATCTGGTCCTGTTTTCTATTCTGGTCAGAAATGACAGAAATATTCGACCACAAAGAGCTCTGGTTTCAACAGTTACGGGGTCTCTTTTCCTCTGACCACAAAGCAATATCCCTCAATCTGTCTGAACACAAACACACTTACACACAAATACACACACTTACACACATGAACTCCAGTGGGTGTGTGTCGACATTTGTGGAAAACGCTCCCACCAACAGTCACACATCAATTCTGGAGGACAAACAGGGCCGACACTCACAGACACTCATGGGAGGCTGGTGATAGATTACTTGACAGTGTTGCTGTAAGGTCTTGTTGCGGAGACACACACATACACACACACACACACATTTATATACACACTTTCACAGTTTTCCCCTGCAGACGTGGGAAAAGCTTCACAGCAGACGAGCTCGATCTTATCAGCTTCCATTTCAGAAGTTGATCATCAGTCGCCCTGGACTGAAATTCACCCTCAGATATTCTTAATCCGAAAACGATTATCTTCTCCATTTCTGTTTCCTCTGATGCAATTCAGAGCCTGCGAATTATTGCGGTAAGAAATGTAGTAATAGGCTTTTCTCGTGTGCAAACTCCCCCTTACTTTCTCTTTCCTCTCGGTGATTGTCGGGCGAACATTTCCCAGAGTGCCTTTTTATCAGGCTGCCGGTTGATGTATTGTTCAGCGGCGTGCGGTACAAGGAGGTAAGCGGGGGAACGATAAGGACAACAATAGAGCTGAGAGGGAGGCATTTTCTCTTTAGTGTGTTATCTCTCAGCGGCTGTGGCTTCTACTCCGCTGAAGTCTGGTTAAAAGCACAACCTGAGAGTAAACAAACGTGGGGGGAAACGGTTTAAAATGAGTTATAGGAAACAAAGACAATCAACTCAAACACTTTCGTCTCATCCTCCATGTTGAAATTTTGTCTTAGTGCCGAACTGAAGCACAGTCCCAGTAAATCCAGTTTCTTTGACTGGTGTGGGTTCTCTGATCGACCCAAAGACTCGGTGCTCTTCACCACACGGCAGATCCAGGATTGTAAACAGAAATCAGTCAGATCCACAAACCCCAAACTTTATTTACTTAGGTTCAGTTAGAGGAAGTTGTTTTGCCTCCATGATTTTAGGTGGAGAGTTTAGACCAGGTGGATTTGAAGATGTAGATCTGGATGTCGTCGGCGTAACAGAGCAAGAAGCCGGCCGGCTGATAGAAGATCCTACGCCAGCTTCAAGTAAGATTCACTGTGTCGGATTGCTAGTGACTACAACCCTGCAGCTGCCTGGACAGCTACCGTGTTGACATGTCAGAGACTAATAAGAGTTATTTATGTAACATGAGCCACGATAAAAGGAGATAAAAATGACCTGTTCAACAAAAACTCTGCTGTCTCGGCGTCTGTTTTCAGGACCAAATCCTGGCGGACCAGTTAGATTCCTCGCTTGGTCACATTTCGTCTTTGACTCCGCCCTTTCTTCTATCGGCTTGCATTTTTCGCAAGCCGATAGAAGAGGTGATTGGATGGAAAGGTGGAGCAGGAGATTGACCAAGAGCCTTAACTTAACCGATCAGTCGTGGTGAAGAAAGAGCTGAGCCGTAAGGCGAGACTCTTGATTTACCGGTCGATCTACGTGCCAACCCTCACCTATGGTCATGAACTTTGGGTAATGACCGAAAGAACAAGATCGCAGATACAAGCGGCTGAAATGGGTTTCCTCCTCAGGGTGTCTGGGCTCAGCCTTAGAGATAGGGTAAGGAGCTCGGACACTCGGGAGGCGCTCAGAGGAGAACCGCTGCTGGGGTGAGGGCCGTCTGGACTTCCCTCCTGAAGCTGCTGACCCCAATCTCTCCAATCATCAACCATGCCTTTTAGTTCAATTTCAATCAATCCGTCTTTTTTATGGTGACTTGACAAACCGGTTGAGGCATTAACCACAGGAAAGTTACTCTGAGAAGAACTCTGAGATACAAACTCACAAAGGCCTGTTTTCTTCTGTAGGTGTTGGTAGTTTTCCTCTCTCCGTTTTATAACCCAGCAGGTGTCATGCTTTCATTTAACTCAGTCAGAAGCCGCGTCTCATTTTGAGTTCACTGTTTTCATATCTTCGCACAGTTTCCTCATTGTTCAACCTGTCAGTCACGCAGCATCCTCGGGGGAGAGATTGAAAGAAGCGGCAGAAAATAATAACTCAGAAGTGAAGCAACAAATCCAAAATACAGATTTTATTTCTAGAAGATTTCAGTCGGCACACTGTAGTTCAGATGAACTGAGTCTTCATCTAACCTCATATTTGAGCAGATACAGGGTTTGGTCTTCTGTCCATTTATTTGACGGTCAAAGTCACTAAAGCTCTAATCGCAGCTTGACATATAAATGCAACTTCTTCTTGACATAAGAAGTTTTTACAATGAGCATGCTTGTACTAAAGTGTTTTATTCTTCTTCTTTTAATGAGTTGCTTTTCACCGTCTCGTTTATCTGCTGGTTCTGGTCTCACTGAAGAAGAAGAGGAAGAAGAAGGAAAGGTTGGAAATCACTGGAAGAGTGCAGTCAAACTGGTGGAAGAAGTTTTTATGATCTCGCCCTTTTGTGTGGAGTCAGAGCAACAAAACAAGCTCGGGCTTTTCTGGCTGACTGTACCCACCCACTAAATGGAGGGGGAGGAAACGCCGCTGCCATCTGGATAAACAGACTAAAAAGCTCATTTGTCGCCGGTAACCATTAGGCTTTTGAACAGCCTCGTGTCGCTTTGTCTCCAGTATCTTTCTCCAGCACAGATAGCTTTGAGACAAATCGCTCGGTGGGAATAATAAAGTTTGCAGAAAGACACTCCGTTTGCAGGCGCTGTCCGTGGTGCTGACAACTTTAGTGTCCCAAACGCAGCGAGCAATAAGCAATATAAACTCTGTAGTACTCTGCACACAGTATGAAGGATCTTACTTCTTACATATTACTTATTTAATCCTGATTAGGGAAGAAGAAGCCCAGGTAACTTCACTCCAGTCAAGGTCATTCAGGGTCAAATTTAGCAGGAATAAACCCACCTGTACCTACGTAAATATAATTCTTTCCTTAATGGCATATGAGGATATAAAAGCACTAATCTGCTTTCTTCTTTGTCAGATAATCTCTCAAAGAAGTCGAATATTCCCTAAAATCTACGGGGAACATCAGGAGCTTAAGCAAACTGCAAAAACCAAACTCACAATCGCTTGTCTAAATGCATAACTTCCTCTCCACTCTGCAATTTTCACTCCCTCTTTTACTTTCCAACAAGCTGCTGAGGGAAATTCTTCTTTCCTCGCCGTAATTGTTTTGCTCTTACAAAAGCTGGAGTCTAACAGCGCTTGTAATCTGTTTTGTAGTGAGGAGGGGGTATTTTTGTTGCCACCTTTTAAAGCTGTCTGCTAAAACACCATCCTGCAGTGGTGACATGCTTCACTTGGGAGATTTCGAGGCTTTTCAGACAGCTGAACAATGAAGTGACTAAGCTTTTTTTTTTGAGCTCCAGCTCTGTGGGATTATTCTCTGTAGGTTTATCAACATGCAAATCCCCCTTTTATTTACAGATACATGATCTCTTTGGGAAATAATCAAAGTTAATGGAAATGTACGCAGAATAGGATTGGCGTGCTACCTTTGCAGCATGCATGATGACGGCAGCACGCGATCGTATAGTGCGTATATGATCATGCCGCTAAGGCGCAGTATATGATCAGCATGCTGCCTGCAACACGCATGCCGCTAAGTTATAACAAGAACATATACGCTATTTATGATCAGCGCACTGCAGGCGTCATGCATGCCACTAATGCGCAGTATATGACCGGCGTGCTGCCAGCGTGATGCGTGACGCTAAGGTATGATGATGACAGAAAATGATTATAAACACAGAATATGATAGTATAATATGATCACGTGATCATATTTGCAGGTAGCGTTCGCAGCGGACACCATATTGGAAATTCTGACTCCACCAGGTCACTCGTTTGGCTTGGTTTGCCTCGAGTGGACACAAAGGGAACTGCAGTTTGAGCACTTCTGCATCATTTGTAAAGATTTAGATTTACTCTGTAACCCTGATTTCATCATCACGTCGAACCTTTAGCCACATTTACAGAAACTCTCTCCCCTCTTAAAGGTCGGAGGTTTAAAACCTGGAATTATTAAAGACTGATGAAATGAAAGGAAACGTGGGTGCAGCCATGTTTTTATTCCTCTATCTCCTTCTAACCTTCTCCGTCTTCCCTTCTTTTTCATCAATCTCCCAACTTCCTGTTTGCATCTGTAGCTCTCACACCCCAAATGTTTTGTCCCTTGATAGATTTTATTCCTCTTTCATTACCGTCTCCTTTTTTTCTCTCCCACCATCCTGGTTATTGCTTTCGTTTCCTTCCTCCTGTAACTCCTCCGCTCAGTTGT